CATGGAACTGTGACGAGGCCTCTCCCTAGAGGATGGAGCCGGACCTGGACCCTCCGGCAGGTCCCAGCGTGGAGCAGGGCACGTCCTCTGTGGCCCCTGCCCTCAGGCCAGAGCTGGAGGAGGCCCCCCGCTCCCAGACCCCTCGGCTGCCTGGGGAACCCCTTGGGATCAACTGAGTGAACAGAATTGGGAGTTTGCAGAGTTTATAGATGGAGTCGCCGTCACCGTGTATGGAGGAACTCAGAGACGTGTGGCTGATTTCCTGTCTCTTAAACCAGGTGTCCTGGCCGAGGGGGGGGCCGAGGTCGGCACAGCCGGCCACCCTTTAGGCAGCCGTCCCAGCTCCGATGCCCGGCCGAGGATGGTCCCCATCTGTGCATTTTCACGTATACCTGACTGGTGGCCTGCGAATCCTTCCTTTTGGGGTGAAGAACTCTGGGGATCTTTGCTTTGCAGATACTCACATATAAAGCAAGGCAACAGACATCTCTACACATGCTCAACCCCAGACAACCTCACTGGGGCATGTCTTGTCCCCTTAGGAGTTCCAGATGTTACCCAGATGTCACCCACAGTGAGGACTCATTTCCTGTCTCAGAAGACAGTGCTGGGCCCTTGAAGGAAGTTCAGTGCCATTGCCACCTTCCCTATAGGTCCCTGGCAGCTGGTTTCATTTGTTTAGTTAAGAGGACCAAGGGACTCTTCAAAGAGCTCTGATTTAAGTTACAAGGTAGCACATGCCCCCCCCCCCCCCCCCCCCCCCCCTCCCCGCCCCCCCGCCCCCCCCCCCCCCCCCCCCCCCCCGCCTCCGTGGGTGTCACCATTGCCACAGGCATTAAGTGAACTTTCTGCCCCTGGGGGTTGCACTTCCCCCACTCCTGCCACTTAGACCCCTCAACTCCCTTTAGTGCCCACAAGGACGGGCACCTCTGAAGTTCACATTTCCATGGGCCGCCTCTCCCCCTGACTCTCTCCCGCCTGGCCAGGGCTCCACTTTGCTTCCTGGAGAGGTATTTGTCCTGCTCACTAAAAGTCTGGGTCATCACCAAGGTTTAAATGGATGTCAAGGTATCGTAAGGCCTAAAATTCCATATGTTGCTGTAGAGGCGGACAAACGTCCTCTGCCCTCTTAGGGTCTCTGGCTGAGCCTAAGTGTTAAAGTGACATAAAACAGATGAACAGGAGAAAAGCATACACAGTTTGTTGAATTTTTCCCTGTACTTGGGACCCTTCACAAGAGAATGAAGTCCAAACGAAGTGACTAGAGCAGAAAGATTTAAAAAAAATTTTTATTGGAATATAGTTGATTCACAATGTTGGGTTAGTTTCAGACGTAAAGCAAAGTGAATCAGTTATACATATGCATATACCTGCTCTTTTTTAGATGCTTTTCCCATACAGCCCATTACAGAGTATTGAGTAGAGTTCCCTGTGCTGTACAGCAGGTCCTTATTATCTATTTTATGTTTTACAGTAGTGTGTATATGTCAATCCCAATCTCCCAGTTTATCCCTCCCCTTTTCCCCCGGTAACTATAAGTTTGTTTTCTATGTCTGTGAGTCTATTTCTGTTCTGTAATTACTTCATTTGTGTCATATTTTAGAACTCCACATATAAGTAATATCATATGATATTTGTCTTTCTCTGACTTATGTCACTTAGTAGGATAATCTCTAGGTCCATCCACGTTGCTGCGGATGGCAATATTTCATTCTTTTTTATGGCTGAGTAATGTTCAATTGTATATATGGACCACACCTTCTTTATCCATTCCTCTGTTGCTGGACATTTAGGTTGCTTCCTTGTATTGGCTATTGCTATGAACATAGGGGTGCATGCAGAGCAGGAAGATTTTATACCTTTTAGACAAAGAAACAATAAGTATGTGAAGAATTGGCAAGACAGAGGGCTTTTGGGCTGGGGTAGTAGAAGGTGAGAAGTGACCAGGTGAGTTCACACAGCCTTCTGCCTCCTTGGCCCTGTGTTCCCCATCTCTGGTGATGAGGATGCCCTCTGTCCTCTGGTCCTGGGGGATGGGGGGGAGTATCCCCTGATTTCAGGGAAGGATGTAAAGGTGGTGGTTGGAGTGACCTTTCTGCTTCTTGCCATCCAGCTGAGATGCTCCACGTGCTGACGTGCCATATTTTGGGGAAGCTTCACTGCCTTGACATCCTCGACATCTTTGAGCCTCCCAGGGATCCCTGAGTTCCTCCAGGGGCACACCTGCTCTCTGGGGGGGCTTGTCAGGTGAGAGCAGATATACCCCCATGCCCGACCCCCCCAACCCCGGCCAGTTCCTCTGTCCTCCGGATCAGCTGCATTTACCCAGGAGTTGTCACTCCCTGACCACCAGCACGATTATTTCAGCAAGCAATCACGACTTCCCAAGGGAACCAGGGTCACCCCACCCTCTGGTTATGACCAAGTCTGCCTTCTACAGTCCCACCTGGTGACTTTGCTCCCCGGTCCTGGCCTGTGTGCCCTGCCTGGGGGGCTGGCTCCTTCCGGGGCTGTGAGTACATGGGACAAGCCACCTGTCAATCATGTCTGTCCAGGACAGGGGTCCTGCGCTTGGCTGTGGCCCCTGACTCGAGGGCGGGTGGAAGGAGACCTATCAAATGGTTGGAGGCCCCCAAAGAGGAAGGACTAGTAGGTTGCTTTAATCCAGAAGCAATGAGGAAGCATTGGCGTGTGTTCAACAGGGACCGGACAGGCTCCGTTTTCCACGCTCACTGGTGACCCTGGCAGCAGGTGGAAATGGGATGGAGGGACCGACTGCAGTCCGGCAGGGAAGAGCTGTTTCAGCCATCCAGGTGAGAAGTGGTGATGCCCTCACTGGCCTGTGGAAAATGGCAGCACAGAGGTGCCAGATTCCATCCATGTTAGGAGCTCAAGTTCACTGGGATTTGAGTGAAGATTCAACAGCAGTCCCCAGGCTCTAATTTGAGCAACTGTTACGTGATCACTCCATTAATCCCAAGAGATGGGAGGGAAAGAAATAGATCTAAAGAATACTGTAACTGAAACCGAGGGAGAAGAGGCTCTTAGGAAAAGAGAGATTGGCTGAAATCTTTCAAAAATTTCAGAGAGAGAAGTCAGTGAATCGTGGACCAGAGGACCATTATCCTGATTTCTCAATCAATGACTCATCACTGGTGTCTGACAGAGCAGTTTCAAGGCAAATCTGGAATAAAGGGGCTCAAGGACTCGGCGGAGGGGAAGAGGTGTAGACAGTGCATGTAGACCACGAGAGGCCACCATGCCAAAAAGAAGGTGGCTTCCACCTCCCTCTGGTAAGGACCCTCCGAGCCCCCTGGGTAAGTACCAATCATTTCCTCAGCTCCAGAGCCTTACTTCAGTCCATCCTGCAAAGTATTGATACCTTTGCTCTGAGCTCATGGGTGTCAGGAGTCAGGACACTGACCTTTGGGCAGGAGGAGGGAGGGGCATTGCCCAGCTGGCCCCAGGCAAGTGCCTTAGAGAGCTTGGCGAAGGAGGGACACAAACGGAGCGTCACTTTAGACCAGTCAGGTGTCAAGTTCCAGGTTCTCTTGTTTTCTTTCTCACTATCATCACAAGAAACACATCACAAACTTGCAAATAAATAATCAATAAATAAAAGCCTGATGGCTGTGAGAAGTGTCTACCTTCTCAGCCCCTGCCCTTTTCTCCAGTCAATGGCCATCTGTCTGTTTTCCCCTGTGGATCAGTGAGAGCCTGGACCTCTCTTCTTTTCTTGCGGACAGAGCAGCTCCTGGCTTCCCACTGTTGCTAAGATTCCCCCACCCACCACTTCCTGGAATTCCAGCGTATTTGCACATTTATGGCGTTCATGAAGTTCATGAAATTAAGCATGTGAGCACAGTAAGCAACTGCAAACATCAACAAGCAGAAATTATGTAAAAATAACATCAATTAAAGTGAGAAATAGGGAATTCCCTGGCCGTCCAGCCGTCAGGACTCTGTCTTTTCACTGCCTGGGTTTCAGTCCCCTGGCGGGGGAACTAAGATCCCACAAGCTACCTGGTGCGGCAAAAAAAAACAACAGTGAGAATGTTGCGCTTTCGATTTCACAGAAAGATGTTTCTCGGTCCATGAAAGCTCCAAATATAGTTGACACAGAACGGTAATTCTCAGCTTCTCATCACAGAAACTCCAAGTTCACGCGTTCTTAACTGGTTTTTTTCTTTTTGCATAAAGGTGGAATTTCAGATTCCACAGTACCTTACATTTGAGAAATGGAATATTTCCTGACACATCATTAAACAAAGAACGTCACAGTCATCAGCGATTGCAGCCCTCCAAAGTGAGCCGGTGAGCCCTGAGGGAACTCAGGAAGGAAAAGAATACCTGCCATCCAGGAGCCATCAGACTGCAGCCACTCCCTGCCGTGAGCCATGCGGAAACTCAGGATGTGAAAACATTGGCCCCAGAGAGCTGAGGTGCAGATCAAAGGAATGATTTCAGTGAGCCCAGACTCTTGCATCTTCCCATATATAGAAAAGCACTAATTTCCTTAACTTGGGATATCTGGTTTTCCTTAATTAACAATAATCTTCTGACCTTCAGACTCCCTGCCCTTTCTTGCAAAAACTATGTAATCTGGCTCCGCCCCCCTCACCTCCTCAGAGCAGTTTCTCAGGGTTTCTTGAGATGCTGCTTCCTGGGCTTGAAGTCCTAAAAATTCCTATCGAGTAGAACGTAACTCTCAACTTCTAGGTTGTGAACATTTTTTAGGTGGACACATTTCACCTATTTCTAATTCCGCCTCTTCTTGATTTTATCTTGTTTAGATAGATGTCCCGGATTTCTCTGCTTCATTTCCCTCTATTTCATGCCCAAATCCCAAAGTCCTCTGCTGCCTCTTGCTGGATGTTGTGACGGAAGGATGCTCAAACCACCTACCAGCTCACACAACTGAAGCGCGGTGAAACGAAACTTGAAACTGAAGTCCTGCAAACGATAAAGGAAACCGAAAGTCTCCCGGACCTCTGGCCTTACGGGGGCCCCGCCCCGCCCCGCCCCGTCCGACCCCTACACCGGTTCTACGCTCCACGCCCTCCTGCCTTTCTGCGGTGCGCTCAGCTGCTCTTCAGACGCTGCGGGTCCGGCTCCAGGTTCGGTCCGGGGTAAAGGGTGTGAGGGCGTCTCGCGGGTCCCGGGGCGCTGCGGTCTCGCAGGGGCTCGAGGTCTTTGACCTGATGGGCGGGGAGGTGCCCGGCGCGGGCATTGGGCGCAGGGGATGCAGGGTGGGGGCGAGGGATGCGCGATGCTGCGGAGGGCGGTGCGTCGCAGAGCTCCGGAGTTGCAAGGGGGAAGTGGGCGCTGGCGGGGGCGGGGGCGTGGAGCGCTGAGGTCTGAGGAGGGAGACGAGTGCTCAGGCACTAAGGGTCCTCTTCGGAGAAAGGGTGGGCATGGGGCTACTGGGGAGACCAAAGCGCGTCAGAGGCGGGCAGGGCCGGTGAGCCCTGGACGGGGCAGCGCCAAGCAGGTTCCTCATCCCTGCGGAGCCTCGGACCCAAACCAAACTTGCAGAATCAGAGTCTGCATTTTCATAATGTCTCCTAGGTGATTCCTACATTTCAGTGGCTTAGCGCTGTAAGAATTTATTTATTTCTTTAACGAAGTATTCGCGGTCAAGGGGTACGCATTCGTTTTCTATTGCTGTGCAACAAATGATCACCACTTAAGTGGCTGAAGTCCGTCGAAATTCACCGTGTTAAGAGTTTCAGTGGATGGGAAGTCCAGGCAGGGGGCTGAGCCCCGGACCTGCGTCTCCCGGCTGGAATGAAGGCGTCCGCTGGCTGGAAGGATCCAGTTCCTTGCAGCTGTGGGGCTGGAGTTCCCTGTTTCTTGTTGGCCGGAGGCTCCTCCTGGCCTGTAGAGACCCCGCTGAGGGGCTTAGCCTCAGCTTTAGGTCTGCAGAGCCAGCAGGAGAATCTCCTTTCTCCTGTGTATGATAGTCTCGCAGATGTACCCCCATGAGGGGAGACGCTGTCCCACTAAAGTCACAGGTCCTGCCCACGCCCAGGGGACAGGTTATGGGGGGCGGGGCACACCGGGGAGGCTGGGGTCTCAGAGGCCACCCTCAAGTCCTGCCCACTGCGGGTCAGCTCCTCTGCAGGCCTTGTTTCAGGAGCGGTCCCCTCGCGTGCTCCACCATCACCTGGACCGTGTACTCTGGCTCTGGCTGTCTCTCCTTCAACGTGTAGTCCACGATTCCTCTTTTTTTTCCCCTTCTTTCAATTTAAGATTTTAAAATCAGAACCCAAACAAGGTTCTGACACTACTGTGTTTGGAAGTTTGTTACCATTTCTTTCATCCTCTTGCAATTTATTTCTTAATAAGCTGGGGGTTTTTGTTTGAAAGTTTATATTGGTGGTGGTTTTTCTTTTGTTTTTTTTTTAATTAATTAATTTATTTTTGTCTGCGTTGCGTCTTCGTTGCTGCTCAAGGGCATTCTCTAGTTGCTGCGAGCGGGGGCTACTCTTCCTTGCGGTGCGCAGGCTTCTCTTTGCAGTGGCTTCTTGTTGCGGAGCACGGGCTCTAGGCAGGTGGGCTTCAGTAGTTGTGGCACGTGGGCTCAGTAGTTGTGGCTCATGGGCTCTAGAGCGCAAGCTCAGTAGTTGTGGTGCACGGGCTTAGTTGCTCCACGGCATGTGGGATACCCCCGGACCAGGGCACGAACCCATGTACCCTGCATTGGCAGGCAGATTCTTAACCACTGTGCCACCAGGGAAGCCGGGTTGTTTTTATTTTTATTTATTTTATTTTATTTATTTATTTTTGTGGTACACGGGCCTCTCAGTGTTGTGGCCTCTCCCGTTGCGGAGCACAGGCTCCGGACGCGCAGGCTGAGAAGCCATGGCTCACGGGCCCAGCCGCTCCGCGGCATGTGGGATCCTCCCGGACCAGGGCACAAACCCGCGTCCCCTGCATCAGCAGGCGGACTCTCAACCACAGTGCCACCAGGGAAGCCCCGGTTGTTTTTTTTTTAAATCTTGTCTTGTAGTGATTCTCCTAGTCCTCTTGGCATATTTTAACATTTAAGATGTTCTTCTGTTTTCTAAATTTCTAAGTGACAGTTCTTGCTACCAGAGATTTGATCAAATTCAGGTTTAAGATCCCCCGCCCCGCCGCTGGAGTATTTCCACACTGGTGTAGTTCTGTATGGAAACAGCTCTTTGCCTCTATTTTTGTTGTGTCACCACCTAAAAATGCCGAGATCGATTTGTTTACTGGAAGCTGTAAACTGGAACCACCCAGTTCTACATTTTTGTCTCTGTTTGTGAGCTGGGTTACCCCCGGCCTCACAGAAATGAAGCCTCCCCATGTATGAACCTCCCTATTTGGCTCATTGTATGAATTTCATACTATAAGTCTTTGTCATAATTTATAGTATTTTATGACTTTAATTCTTGTGATTTGTTTCTATTTTGAATCAAAAATGGAAAACCAGTTAGCAGCACTTACAAAATTATGATTATGTACAATAGTAGGCAGTCTTTATCTTTGCCTGGGAAACATAGTTCCATATCATTAAGACTCCTGCTTGAAATGGATACTTCTCAAAATTCGAAGTGTCATGCATCCTCTTTTCTTTTTAGCTTCCTTTAATTCTCGTGGACCGTACATAATTTCAATGTTTCTTGATTGTCCTCTTTATCTTTTTTCTTCAATTTTCTGTACTATCTTTTAAAATAAATTTTCATTTAAGATGAGTCGTTGGTGAGGTTTCCGACTGCTTTTTAAAAATTTTTTCATTAATTTTTTTAATTGGCTGCATTGGGTCTTCGTTGCTGCGTGCGGGCTTTCTCTAGTTGCGGTGCGCGTGCTTCTCATTCCGGTGGCTTCTCTTGTTGCGGAGCACGGGCTCTAGGCACGTGGGCTTCAGTAGTTGTGGTTCGCAGGCTCAGTAGTTGTGGCGCACGGGCTTAGCTGCTCCGCGGCATGTGGGATCTTCCCCGACCAGAGCTCGAACCACTGTCCCCGGCATTGGCATGCGGATTCTTAACCACTGCGCCACCAGGGAAGCCCCTGACTTCTTAAATGTCTAGTACTACTGTCTTTTCCCTCTCCTGATGAATTGAATGACTGTTTGGATACAGAATTCTTAGTTCAAAACATTTTCCTCTCAGAACTTTGAAAGTATTCTTTTCTTTTATCAAGACATCCAGTAATGCTCTCATTTTGATGTGTTGTATCTGTGTGCCAGGTACTATTTTAATCCATTTGTATGCATCAGCTCATACTTTTAAATGGCTTGCAAACACAGCCAGGGGGAAGTAATATGATTGTCCGATGAGTGGATGAGTGAAGTGAGACAGAGAACGTAACTTACCTCAACTGTAGTATGTTCACAACTGGGGTGAGAAGCCTGGCGTCCTGCTGGCAGCGCCCATGTTCCCTCTGCTCACATCTGCCTTACACCTCTTTGTGGTGCTTCTGTCTTTCTCTGTATTCCTGGAGCTCTTCGGTTTTCACAAGCTGTGTGTAAGCATGGTTTTCTCTTTTGCCATTATTTCTGCTCAGTGCTTGGAAAAACTTTTCCATCTAAAAAAGTATATTTTTCTTTAACTCTGGCCTAATATTGTTATGTTATGCTAACTATTATATCTTTGATTACTTTTAATTTATCCCCACCCCACTTTGCAATCGTACTTCTCTGTGACTGGAATTACTGTGACATGGACTTAGAACTTGTTGATCTCTCCTCCATATGTTAGTAATTTTTCTATTTTCATCTCTTTGATTTTCTCTTCTCTCCTCTAAGAAATTTCCTGGATTTTAACCCCTAGATCCGCTAACTTGAAACTTCAGCATGCCCATTCCATTGTTCTGTGCATAAATTATTTTTCTGAAATTGTATTTAAAATTTTTATGAGCATTTACTTTTTTGTTTTACTGTAGCAACCTGTTACTATTTTATTAGTTAATGTCACTGTCATTATTGAGAACTCTAACTGGAGTTTTTTTTTTTTAAGGACTGTTCTGTCCTTGAATCATGTTTGTTCGTCTGGCTTCGTATTTTTTTTTCTTCCCCCTTAAATGTCGAGCGATTCTAATGTTTTATACATATTCACTCGTGGTTATTATGATAGGTAGCTGGTTTTATTTTACTTAGCATGTTTCTCCCTTACATGAGAGAGAACTGAGCGTAATGATTGTGGATTCTGTGTGATGTTTAGGTGAGAACCAGTTTGGGATAAAGTTTCATATGGAAAGCTTCTTGTGAGGGTTGGGGAACAGGCCGGGAGTCCCTTACCTGTCAGATGAAGGAGGCTTTATTCTGCCAACATAGCTGTGGTTGAAAATCTGCCCAGTGCCCAGCATGCACTCATGTCCCATTAGTCATTGTTACTTAATTTCAAAACCTGTATCATCTCTTTCAGTTTATGTGCATTATATTTTCAAATGAAGGTGTTAGGACTTAATTTGTTTGGAGCTCACTGCTTAATACATGAACTATTAGGTATTCATTTTGTCTTAGGAGTACGATTTAAAAAAAAAAGTCCTGAGACGTTAAGGGCACCCGTGAACCTCTGGGATGCTGTGACTTAACCCATCTCATCTCGTGTATCTGATACTGTCTTTGCTGATGCTGTGTCTCTCTGTCCAAGTGCCTTCATCCACACCGGTGGCCTCACTTAACCATAATACTGAAACTGCTCTCACACTGAGGTCTAGCCCAGACCTCGTGTTTGATCTCTAGACCTGTACATTTAATTACTTACAGGACATATCCCATAGTAAATCGAACCCAGGCTGACCACAAATGAACTTAGGATCTTTCTCTGACGTTGGCCGCATCCCAAGGTTTCCAGCCCAGGGAGCAGCCTCGCCTTGCATGCGATTGCATCAGGTAGAATCCTAAGGGGCTCCTCTTCTGTATCCGTAGCTGATCCATTACCTCATCATGTCAAACTCACCTTCTGAGTATCTGAGATGAACATGTGCCTCAAACTACTGTGCAGCTGCACTACATGCAGCTACTACCGTTGCTCTAGAACAGTGGCTTTCTCTCCGCCTCACTAGCGGGGTCTTTGCTTCACCCCATCTATTCTCTGTACTGGAGCCAGTGTAATCTTCCAAGATGCACAGTCAATCACATTACTACCTGCTTAAAATCCATCAGTGGATTTTAGGATGACAAACATGCGATCAGAGGCTCTGCATGACTTTGTGTTTCTGCACTCCAGCGCGGCTGGCTTCTTCTCAGGACCTAGAACCATCCACACACTTTCCTGCCACAAGGCTTTTGCGCCAGGTGTTCTGGGTTCTCTCTGCCTGCAGTGCTACCCACCCCACCCCTTTGTTTAATTATATCTCGTCTTATCCTTCAGAACTCAGCTCAAGCATTGCTTCTTTAGGGAAGTGTCCACTGACCTTTTGACTTTGTCACATTTGCAATGTTCCATTGTTCGTATGATTATCTGATTGATATTTATCTTTCTTGGTAAATTTTAAGTTTCATGGGAACTGACAGCATTTTGACTTTTGTTCATTCTTGTATTCCCAGTGCCTTAAGTTTTGTTTAACACACAATAGTCATTCAGTACCGTTTGTTGATGGAATAATTCATTTCTAATTTTTCTTTCTTTGTAGGTCTGCTGTTTTCATTAGCATCTGCCACTTAGAGGTACCACAGTAAAGGATATTTGCTATATTTAATATTTTCCATCAGGTTGGAGGCACGTGGCAAGAATGGGTAATTTTCAATTTAAAATATTTATAAATTGTAAAATAATGATTCTGCAAGCTACACAGATTTAATAGAATTAACTTTATGACTTTTTTCTTTCTCAAATAATTTGTAAATGATAGCTCTTTTAAAAAGAATTGATTGAAAATAATTCATTCTCTTTCTCTCTCTCTTTTTTTAGGTTTAGAAAAGTACCTGAAGCTTTTGGAGAAAATGTCACAGTTGATTTTGGATGAAATGGCAGAAGCTGAGTGAGTGTTGTAGTAATAAATTAAGAGATATAAAGTTCTACATCTTATTTGCTGTGTATCGGATTGGCCTTGAAGCGATTATCTACCTTTCATCTATCTATCATCTACCGTCTGTCTATATCTATCTATCTATCCATCCGTCCTTCCATCTCTCCACATATCTAATCTATTTATCATTTATCTTAGTATATGTATTATAGTATTTTATATATATATATATATGAGATTGTTGAACACAGAACTTTTAGAGCTGTTGGATGGTCGGTGGAAACAGTCTTCTCTTGCTTTGTTGTCCATGGCTGTCAATGAACCCATCATTTTATGAAAGGATGAGATTTTTTTTTTCCCGTATTTGAGAGCATTTATTCAATCTTCTCGAAATCATGCTTACAATTTCCATGTATTTTTTTTTTAAACATCTTTATCGGAGTATAATTGCTTTACACTGGTGTGTTAATTTCTGCTATATAACAAAGTGAATCAGCTACACATATACATATGTTCGCATGCCTCCTCCCTCTACAGTAATTCGCTCTTTTTTTTTAACATCTTTATTGGAGTATAATTGCTTTACAGTGGTGTGTTAGTTTCTGCTTTATAACAAAGTGAATCAGTTATACATTTACACATGTTCCCATGTCTCCTCCCTCTACAGTAATCTCTTTTTTTTTTAACGTCTTTATTGGCGTATAATTGCTTTACACTGGTGTTAGTTTCTGCTTTATAACAAAGTGAATCAGGTATACATATGTTCCCATGTCTCCTCCCTCTACAGTAATTCTCTTTTTTTTTTTTAACATCTTTATTGGAGTATAATTGCTTTACAGTGGTGTGTTAGTTTCTGCTTTATAACAAAGTGAATCAGGTATACATATACATATGTTCCCATATCTCTTCCCTCTTGCATCTCCCTCCCTCCCACCCTCCCTATCCCACCGCTCTAGGTGGTCACTAAGCACCGAGCTGATCTCTCTGTGCTATGCAGCTGCTTCCCACTAGCTCTCTGTTTTACGTTTGGTAGTGTATATATGTCCATGCCACTCTCTCACTTTGTCCCAGCTTACCCTTCCCCCTCCCCATATCCTCAAGTCCATTCTCTAGTAGGTCTGTGTCTTTATTCTTTATTCCGTCTTGTCCCTAGGTTCTTCATGCCTTTTTTTTTTAAATTTTAGATTCCATATATATGTGTTAGCATACGGTATTTGTTTTCCTCTGACTTACTTCACTCTGTATGACAGTCTCTAGGTCCATCCACCTCACTACAAATAACTCAATTTCGTTTCTTTTTATGGCTGCGTAATATTCCATTGTATGTGTGTGCCACATCTTCTTTAGAAAGGATGAGATTGATGAAGCAGGAAGGTCTATATTCAGATACAGGTGTTCAGTCCCTGAGTCCGGCCCACATTTTGGCCTTAGATAACGTGCTCTGTTTTCGAGCCTCAGTTTCCTTCCCTGTTGAGCGGAGGTGATGCTGATTCCTCCTGTGAAGAACACTCATGCGTGCGGGTGTCTTTGGCAAGTCAGTGTAGAGACCAACGTGAAAGAATTACTCAGTAAATCAAGCTATTGATGATAATGATATGAAGATAATAATGATAATAAAGCTGCTGCCTTTGGGGCCTGATTTCATCTTCGTGTAATTTTTCATTTTCACTGTTTGTATTTTAGTTATGACAGTCTGTTGAATGATTTTGTTGAGTCTGAGTTTTTTCTGATTGATGGAGACTCACTGCTGATGACATACATCTGTGAGAAATCGTTGCGGCCTGAACAGGGCCTGCACTTCTTTTACCTGGTGGAATGCTACCTTGTGGATCTAATTAATAAAGGAGGACAGTTTGCCGTCGTCTTCTTCAAGGTAACGTGACAGTTGGGTTCTTTTCTATGATTTGAGAACTGAGACTACAATGACATTGTTTTATAAGTAGGTTTTTCTTCTTATTTCAAAGTGAAGTAGATCTATAAAAATTCAGCAAATTTAAAGGGAATAACAGAAAAAAAAAGTGACCCAGGATCCCAGTATTCAGAAATTACTACATTGAGGATTATTATTATTTTTATTGGAGTATAGTTGTTTTACAATGTTGTGTTAGTTTCTGCTGTGCAGCAAAGTGAAGTAGAGTTCTCTCTGCTATATAGTAGGTTCTCATTAGTTAACTATTTTATACATACTGGTGTATATATATCAATCCCAATTACCCAGTTCTTCCCACTCCCCCCTTTCCCCCCTTGGTGTCCATACGTTTGTTTCTATTTCTTTGTCTCTATTTCTGCCCTGCAAACCGGTTCATCTGTACCATTTTTCTAGGTTCCACATATATGCGTTAATATACGATATTTGTTTTTCTCTTTCTGACTTACTTCACTCTGTATGACAGTCTCTAGGTCCATCCACGTCTCTACAGGTGACCCAGTTCAAGAAGAAACATGCACCCCAGTGTTCATTGCAGCACTATTTACAATAGCCAGGTCAACGTAAATGTCCATCACAGACGAATGGAGAAAGAAGATGTGGTACATATACACAATGGAATATTACTCAGCCATAAAAAGGAATGAAATTGGGTCATTTGTAGAGGATTATTTTTTATTTGCCCTCATAGAGCTTTCCTGTGAGGACACACAGGACCCTGGAGGAGGGGGAGGGGTGTCCTCGGAAGCGACTGAGCTGATATCCGGGTTCTAATCTCCCAACTCCAAGTAGGTCCACCTCTGTCTTCAAAACTCAACAGTTTGTGGGGGCTTCCCTGGTGGCGCAGTGGTTGAGAGTCTGCCTGCTAATGCGGGGGACGTGGGTTCGAGCCCTGGTCTGGGAGGATCCCACATGCCGCGGAGCAACTAGGCCTGTGAGCCACAGCTACTGAGCCTGCGTGTCTGGAGCCTGTGCTCCGCAACGGGAGAGGCCGCGATAGTGAGAGGCCCCCGCGCCGCGATAGTGAGAGGCCCCTGCTTGCCGCAACTAGAGAAAGCCCTCGCACAGAAACGAAGACCCCACACAGCAAAAATAAATTAATAAACTCCTACTCCAGCAACTAAAAAAAACAAAAAAACCAAAAAAACCCAGTTTGTTTGAGCCCAGAGGTGGATCAAACTCACCAATGTTGCTTCGTTCTTATTTGCTCTGAAGTAAACACATCCAAGGGAAGATAGCTGGTCTTCCTTGATTTGAATGTGCATATAACTAATGAAATTTTAACAGTTTCAAATACATGTATGTATCATACCATCACCACCTCCTCATTCTACCCCTAAAGGTAACAAGTGTGTTATTCTTGGAGGTTTTAGTGCATGTCTGTTCAGTTCTTTTGTGATCCATATTATTGTTAGATATTTGAGCCTTGCTGACTGCCTGCGAGCAATGCATGAATTGTGGGCTTCTGATAAAAACCGGTGCTACTTCCGGGTGACCTGGGACTATCCCTGCAGCGCGATCCACCCCAGCTTTCCCTATGGTCGCTTTATAGCTACCATTTGCTTTTACATATTTTTCTTTCCTTTTTCTTTTTGAAGTGAGATTGGAGAGGAGAAGAATTAGAATGGGAAGGGAAAGTGTGAGTTAAAGGGGTAACATGTATTTAAACCCAAATTGTGATTTGTGGCATGTATCTGCAAAATGACAGTCAAGGATCGAGGGTCTATGTTCTGACTATAAAACAGAATACGACTGTGTTGGAACCTATTCCTTTAATGAGTTTCATGGTATGTGTTAACCAGCAAAACTAGTAGACGGCTAAATGATGATTTCAAAATTGTCTACCCCACAGGATGCTGAACATGCATACAACAGCATCCCTGAATTGCTTCCTCTGAGAATGGCGTTAATTCTCCACCTTCAGCATAATACCAACATTGATGTCCGAACAGACTTTTCTGGGTGCTTCTCACAAGAGTGGAAAAGTTTCTTGGAAGACAGTTATCCATATTTTCTGATCGTTGCCGATGAAAGCCTGAGCCATCTACAAGTACACCTTTTCAACTTTTTAATCATGCAGTCCTGGGCGATGAATGTCAATGCCGTGCTCTTCTCGGGCCAAGCATCCGATGTCCTTCGACTTTACGCGTACTTTATGCCGAGCAAGTACAAACACCAGTTGATTTTCCAGAAGGTAGTTTGCACCTAAAAGACAAACTTTTAGAATTTCACGAAATTTCTGCATTACTTGACTCAGTTTGATTTCTCCCTCTTTTATGGAAATTATCATAGGTTTAACAGAGAGGTGTAGAAAAATAGAAATGATAATAATAAAACAAAAATGCAGTCATTATTGGGCAGTTGTTGTCATAACAGTAGTGCTTGGTGCTTCCCATGAGTCATTTTATTTAACCTTCACAGTGACCCTGTGAGGGAGGTGTTAGTGTTGTCTGTGTTTTGCAGATGATGAAATAGATACTTGAACAAATAATCTGCCCATTGTCAATTCCAAATCCAGTAATACAGCCTGGATTTTAAAAGAGGCAGCCTGACCCCAGCACTTCGGTGCTTAAGCGTGGCATGCGCGTCCATCTCCACTTAGGAAGGCCAGACACGCGTCCACATACTAGTGAAATGATGGTGAATATGGTAGCTTTTCATGAGAAAACAATGGTGAAAGTTGATGAAATACAATTTAAAAAAAAAATTAAAAAAATATTTTGGCCGTACTGCATGGCACATAGGATCTTGTTTCCCCGACCAGGGATCCAGCCTGTGCCCCCTGCGTCGGAAGCATGGAGTCTTAATCACTGGACCGCCAGGGAGGTCCCTGAAATAAAATTATTTCTTAACATTAAATCATTAATAGAATTTTCAAAGTATTTAGAATTTTAATCCTCTGATCTTATTATTTTGCTGTATTGGTATAATTGGTAATGACTGTATTGAATGTTTGGGAGTTCAAAAATGCTCACCAATTTTAGAAATAAATTTGGTTTCTGTCTAATTTTCACTACTTATAGGGAATTTAGAATGTGAAGACAATTCTATATATCATCAAAATGATTTTTGTGTCAGTTAACATTTTCACTTTTTGGAGTTGAGGGTCACACCCCTCGTGGCACTGGCCACATCTGGATGGCTGTCACAAAATCCAATAAGATAGTTTACTTTGCTTTCGTTAGAACTTCAGTCATTAAACTATTTCCAACTCTGGTTGCCTGCTGTGAGTAGGAACAGCCTTGTGTGTGTATTTTTTTTTTAATTAAAAAATTATTTTTTGTAGTGACAGGAGGTCCTGTAATCCGTTCATTTTTTATTCTGTTAGAGCAATTTCTGAATCTGTGTTTGAAGAGTCCCTACAAACTTCCTTGCTAGTCTTTTCTCAAGAAAGACATTTCTTAATGGAGGATTTTATTTCTGGTAAATAATTTATTTCCTAGTTTATTGAACACTCACCTTAAAGAGGTGATTTCATTGATCAATTTGAGGACTGTGTGAAATGTGTATAAAAATGCCATGCATGTTGATAATGGCTGTTGCTGGATGTTCATTACCTGGGGAAGGCGGTTATGCTATTCTCTCTGTGTCTCTTTGAATTTTTTTCTAATAAAATCTAGTGCATTAAATGGGTAAATTGTTTCTTTTTGAGATATTGAAAATGTTCTAAAATTAGATTATGGCGATGGTTGCGCAACTCTGTAAATTTACCCAAAGCCGTTGAATTGTATCCTTAAAGTGAGGGGATTTTGTGTCATGTTAATTATACCTTGATGAAGTTGTTAAAAAATAAAATGGACCTTGACAAAAATTAATTTGGCGAAGACAGGCAGGCTTTAAAAGCATTGTTGATGATCTGTAATTACATTAGTGTATTTTTTTTTAACTTAGAAACATATTGTAACAGTATTATCTTCAATATATGATTTTCTTTAGTTGGAAAGTAATGTGATATATTATTTATGACGATTTATGTGACTTGCCTTCCTTTTGCAGAATGAAGAGCACTTTGAGAATGCTTATAAAACCCTGATTAAGCAATTGAAGGAATGTAGAGTTTTAGCATTAGGACGTCTTTTTGGAAATTTAAAATGGAAAGATATGATGGAAGAGGTACTGAAACTTTTAAAAATCTTTTGATTTGAATGAATTGTTTAATTACTAAAAAAATGCAAACATAGTTCAGAGTTCTCATATACCTCTCACCCAGCTTCCGCCCCCAGTGTTAAGATCTGATGTAACCAAGGTACGTTTGTCAAACCAGGAAATTACTATCACTATAATAATATTAACAGACAAACATATCAATAACAGACTTTAATACACCACTTTTTCCGATTATCAGAAAAATTATTCATAAATTTTATTTTTACTGGATGCCTAATATTTCTCTAATGCTGAACATTTAAATTGTTTGAAAATTGGCTTTAACAGATAACTTTGTGACGAACATCTTGGAGCATAAATCTTGGTACACATTTTGTATAACTTACCTAACCTACATACCTAGAACTTGCATAGTCAATCAGAAAGTATCAACATACATAATGATAATCATATGTATTGCCAAATAACTTTGCAGTAACTCTGTGCCTATGTATACTCTGATTTGCAAATATAAGAGAAATGACACGTCACATGATTTCCAGTGCTATTATCCTTAAAATATACTTTACTAATTTGAAAGTAAAAATATGCTATCTAATTGTCCTTTTTGTTACTAAAATGGTTGCACACTTTTATTAATATTTGTATTTTGTGAATTATCTGCTCATCTCTTATTAAAGGCTTAGATGTTTTATTGATTTATAGGAGCTCTTTACATATTTAAACGTAATAATTTCATTGAAATACTTATTATGTTCCCATTTTGAATTTTGTTTCTTGCTTTAAACAGAAATGTTTTTGTGTAGTCATATCTATATTTCTCTTCGGTACGAGTTCTTCTAGTAAGATCATTTATGATTGAAAACATTTTTCTAAATACCACGACATTTTACAATTTCTTTCCGTGACAGGCATGTGAAACTATTTCTCTGCTTAAGCAACTGTGGCCGGAAGGATCTGACATTCGGCAAGTTCTTTGTGTTACTTCGTGCTCCTTGTCTTTGAGTTTATACCATCACTTTTTAGAAAACAGATCGAAGACCACTGATGCTCAGAAAGCTAACATCCAACAGGTATGATAAGTTTACCGTGAAACACCAGTGAAATTTTATTTATTTGATTTTACTGAAACATCTGTTGTGCTGTTAGATGGGTTGGTGTTCTACTCACAGATGTTTCCCTTAGTACATTTTTAGTCAAATGTGTCCAGCCCTCCAGCGGAAGATAAGAAAGTGGCCCTTGGTGAGAGTTTACTCCCTTATGATGTTCTGGGCTCTTACATGCCTTGTGCCATTAAGTCTTCACGACAGCAGTTTAAGGGAGGTGCTGTGATTCTTACTGAGGTTCAGAGAGTCCAGGGAACATTCGTCAAACCCAAGGATGAAATACAGTGTGGATTGAAACCAGGTCTGTCTGTCTTATCCAAGCTCCACTCTGTCCACTGCCTTGTGCAAGGAGCTTCCTGCTGTCCTGGCTGGACAGATGCTAAAGCCACAGCTTCTGTAGGGCTGACAGAGGCCATTGAGACTCTGTAGACTGGTGTGGGTTTGTTCGCCAACCAACTAGCCATCCCTGTGTGTCTGCACATGTGCACGCATGCTCTCAGAAACACACGTGTACACGTACTGTGTTGTTTACAACCTGAGTGCTGGGGAACCCCCGGTTGAAGATTCTTATGAAAGAGAAACACAGTTTGGTCTCTTTCTTTCATAATTTCAGAAACGAACAGGGCTCGTCATCTTTCTCCTGTGTCCTTTAGGTCTGCTTGAATAGTGTCTTTGCAAAATAACGTAGATGGCTAGGCGTGCCATTTTAAATGATCACAAAAGTGATACTAAACCACTCGTCTCTCTGGGGCTTCTCATCGTTGGACCCCGTCTGGCCCTGTGGAGGCACACTGAATGAGCCTCAGTCTGGTTCCAGGGACAGCCCTGCAAACATTGTCTCATCAGGTTAAATATGCCCACTTCTTTACCCTGTTTCCACTTGGGTACGTTTTCAGATTGTACCGGTTTCCTCACCCTGGTAGTTTTCAGTATAACCTTTAAAATAGGACGCCTGGGAGAAAAGAGATGGAGCATTTCACGTGTGGCCCCGCCGTGCAGAATCCTGTGAGCTCCTGACGTCATGCGCTGCTGGGTCAGCTCATGTGAAGTTGGGCTCAACTAAGAACACAGGAAGTTGCTTCATGTAAACTGCTACTGAGCTGGCGGTTCCCTGTCTCTCTTACCCAACGTGTGTGTTATGTGAAGAAGAGAACTTTTGCAAAAATGCAGAGTGAACAGCGTAAGAGCGTGTGGTTCCTGCCCACGTGGTGCAGCTGCACCTTCTCTGAGGTACCCAGGCATCAGGTGGTGTCCTGGCCACGGTCCTCTGACCCACCTTCTTTATTTGATGCAGGTGGAGATGAACTGCCCCACCCTGGAGGGGGTGACAGATTGGTGTAGACTGCACTGTCTCAGCGTGGCATTTCTCCTCCACTTACCTCTTTCCCAAAGAGCATGTACCAGATTCATCACTTCCCGCTGGATTAAGGACATTCAGACTTTCTTAACAATGGTAAGTATACTCTTGATTAGTTTATTTTTATTATTTTATTATTATTATTTTTTTGCGGTACGCGGGCCTCTCACTGTTGTGGCCTCTCCCGTTGCGGAGCACAGGCTCTGGACGCGCAGGCCCAGCAGCCATGGCTCACGGGCCCAGCCGCTCTGCGGCATGTGGCATCTTCCCAGACCGGGGCACGAACCTGTCCCCCCCACATCAGCAGTTGGACTCTCAACCACTGCGCCACCAGGGAAGCCCTAGTGGATCAATTTGAATGGACATTTTTTAAGGATCTTGATACTTATAGTCAGAATGTCCAAGGAAAGTGTTTTAGAACCAATCAGTTAGGAAGCCGGTCCACAAATATTTGTTTAATGCACGTGCATCGTGTGGATCACAGGAAAAGAAGGTGTTCACCCACCCCGCCCAGCACTTCCACAGAGATACATTTTGCAGGGAGAGACAGATAAGGAATTTTTAAAACTACTCCTGCGGGATAGAAACTGCAGGACGCTTTAGAATCTGATACTAAAAAGACTGAACTCAGTCTGAAAAGGATGACTTCTCTTAAGAAATGAAGAGAAGTTAAGTAACCCAAGTCTATGTGTAGGAGTTAGCAGGTTGGAGGGAGGCTGCACACCAGGTTCTAGGAGGTAAAGCAGCCTGTGTGATCGTGCCGAGGATGGTGTGACCGAGTGTCCCTGGACTAGAAAGAACACAGGAAAGGGACAAAGTGGAAGGGACGGGTCGGAGGCAGACCCTGTGGCCCCTTCAGGTGCTGTTAGGAGGGTGGAGATGTAACCTGATGCCAAGCACAGCGAGAGGCAGCTGGATGGTCTCTAGGTCAGTGGCGCTTTCATTTCAAAACAGGTGTCTCAGGTGCAGTGCAGAGGGTGCATCAGAGAGGTGACACGTGGACTCGGGAAGCCAGTTAGGTGACTGTCACCTCCGTGCCTGTAAGTGGTGCTGATGTTGGGGACAAGGGCATGGGCAGAGGGCTGGACAGCAGTGGGCAGTCGATCATGATTTGAGGTGTGGAGTTGACAGGTTTAGTGAGTGAGCGGCGGGGGCAGGGAAGAGTCGGGGGGACAGTCTCCTCTTGAGCCTCCAGGGGGAGGGGAGGGTGCCATGGTCCACGGGACGCTGGTGGAGGCCACCGTGTGTTCAGTTTTGGAAAGAGTGCGTTTGAGGGTCCAAGGACATACCCAGATGGAGGTACCAGGTGAGCTGTGTAAATACTGGTTTGGAGCTCCGCAGAGTGGGATGCGTTGGACGTAAAGATTGGGAGTCATCAGCCCACGGATGTTCATGTAGTGGATGAAATTACGTTGGGAGAGAGATGATAAGAGGGCCCGGGGCAGAGACCCGAGAAAGTCCATCGTGCAGTGGTCCCACATAGGCTGAGGTGCTGGGAAGGAACTGCTGAAATGGATGGAGAGGAGAGAGGGGAACGGATGGCTCTGAGAGACGGGAACCGTGTCTCCAAATGTGGGCGTGGCTAATAGGATCAGGTGTGTTGAGAGCTGTAGGGGGTTAAGGACTGAGCACAGTCGACTGGGTTTGAGGGCACAGGGCTCACTGCTGCTGGGAATCAAGAGGCAGGTGAGCAGAGTGGTGGGGAGGAAAGTCAGTGTCAGTGATTCAGAGGTGAGTGGGAGGGAAAACATAACGGTGGAGAGAACTTTCTGTGTAAGAGGCTGAGAATAAGGGAATGGCAAAGGGCAGAGCTGGCACCTGGGTCAATGGAGAGTGCTTTGCAGCACTATTCACAACAGCCAAGACATAGAATCAACGTAAATATCCATCAACAGAGGAATGGATAAAGAAGATGTGGCACATATGTACAATGGAATATTACTCGGCCCTGAAAATGAATGAAATAATGTTATTTGCAGCAACGTGGATGGACCTAGAGATTGTCATACTGAGTGAAGTAAGTCAGACAGAGAGAGACAAATACCATATGATATCACTTATATGTGGAATCTAAAAAGATGATACAAATGAACTTATTTACAAAACAGAAACAGACTCACAGACATAGAATACAATCCTATGGTTACCAGGGTGTGTAAGGGGGGAGGGATAAATTGGGAGATTGGGATTGACATATACACACTACTCTATATAAAATAGATAACTAATAAGGACCTCTGTGTAGCACAGAGAACTCTACCTGATATTCTGTAATGATGTATACAGGAAAAGAATCTAAAAAAGAGTGGATAGTCTTTTATATGTATACATTTATATGTATAAGTGAATCACTTTGCTGTACACCTGAAACTAACACAACAGAGTAAATCCACTGTACTCCAATATAAAATAAAAAATAAAGAAAGAGTGCTTTTAAAATGACAGATGGAGCATGTCTAAATGCTGATCATGGAAACTAAGAGAGGATAGGATGAAAATACAGGGAGAGTCAGGTGAGGGGGGGGCATGTGGAGGATGCCCTTTTATGGAGGGAGGGGTATGGCCGTTCTTACAAGAGAGAGTGAAGAAAGAATGGTACAGATTGGCCGTGATGGAGGTTGTGGGGTCTGTTCCTGCTTGCTGGTGTGAATTTCCTGCTTGCTGGTGTGAATTTCCTCTGTGAAGTAGAGACAAAGTCATGTGCTCAAAGTCATGGCGAGGAAGCAGGCCCGGAAGTTTAAGAACAGTGAAATATGTGGGAGATATTTACTGGAGGCGGGGAAGAGTAAGCTCTACTGAGAGGGACATACCACCCTGTCCTGCCTGGTACTTTGGAGGCTTCCCTTGACATATTTGACAGAAGAATTATAGTGGCACCCGTATGTGTTATCATATACTTTTCCGTGTCCGGTGGGTCCTAACCACATGGCCGCAGGCACAAGGAAGCCAGCTGATGGCATGATATGTACAGAAAGGAACAAGAGAGTTTAGGCGGGGCGGACGCCCTTGGTGGATTTGTACCATTTTATAGAAAAGAAGACAGGAAAAGAGGTTTCCGTATCTTTGCAAGGGCGTGGTGCAAATGCTGGGCTAGGAAACAAAGCACCAGAGACAAGCTACAAGGACCCTATCGTGCAGGGGGAGAGCAGAGGGGCTGCTGACCTGGGGGACCTGGTGTGATCAGTGAAGGAGTGTGATGGCCATTACACAGGGCTGGAAGGATGGGCTGGCGGTGGGCGTGAGGAGCCCCTCTTCGGGGCTTGGCAGGCAGACAGACTGTCGTTCCCTGGCCCGTCTCTCCCTCTCCCTTACTTCCCATCTTACTGTAAATGCCTGCCATTCTCTGCCTGAAGGTTTGATCTTCTGGGTCTGAAATGCTGGGGTGTAATGCCCCACCGACGGCAGGTGAGGGCTGGGTGCAGGAGACCCCAGCTTCCTTACACGTCGGGGCAGGTAACCCTGAAACGTGCTCTACGCTCTCAGAATTCCCCAGTGGAATTAAGCTCTGGTTGTCCACAGGGGTCGTGGGTTGGAAAACATGGTCCTTCCTGGTTTTCTTTTCTTTCCCGTCTCACTTCTGCATCCCCTCACGGGCGCCTCTTGAGAGCAGTCACAAATTAGTGCTTTTCCATAAAGTTGAGGCTCGGGGTCTGCTTCATGGGGGAGCCCAAAGCAAGGCAAGGACGGAGAGCAGGTCCTGGTGATGGCAGGCATGGGTATGTTGGGGAGAACGTGACCTGGGTCAGAGGGGTGAGGGGAATCGCTGGATACAAGACATTCGAGAAGTGTCGATGGTATCGTCTTCTTGGAGGCTGAAGTTATCTGTGGTGCTGGTGAAGCTGCGCCAGGCAGGAAAGTCATCGTTACTTGGGTACGTGGGGGACCTAGGAGCGTGGTCAGGAGGGGCTTCCAGACGGAGCAGACGGATGGCGGCAGGCTTTTGGGCCGGGGGAGGAGGATAGATTGGAAGTGACGAGGACACCCCCTCTTCTCCATCCTGTGGTCAAGCCATGCATGGAGCCAGGTGGCAGGGGAGGTGCTTGTTCATCGGGAAAGGCCGCGATCTGCACTGTGGTCCCCTCTTCCTCACTTTTCCATCCTCAGCAGACAGGTGTGTCAGAACCACACAAAAAGGAATTCTTCAGGGCTTCTTAGCCTTTTTGTTCTGGGCCCCTGTGGCTATCTGATGAATGTTATGGCCCAGAATAATATAAATGCCTCAAATAAGGTTCTGAGGGAAATCAGTTATGATGAAATACTGTTATCAAAATATTATAACCGTATCGTTTGTGATATAGTAACACATGTGCTTCTTTGTTACTACATTAGATAATCAGATAAATACCGTACTTTCAATGGATGGTGAGTGTCAGCAATATCTCGATATGTTTGCAGTGCTTATAATGAAAACATCTGTGATCCCTACTGGTGCCCGATCCCAGCTACTGCCTGGGAGGGACGGTATTTTGTCTGGGTTTGCAATGGAAGAAAATACAAAGTTTGCCACAGGTTAGCAAAAATAAAAATGTAATTTTCTGACCCAAGTTCATGGACTCCCCGAATTCTATCAGGTGAAGAACGTCTGTGAAAACCGTTTTTCTGCACTACCTCTCCCTCATAAGCCTGGCCTCCGGCTAGACTGGCAGGTGCCCTTACTTTGGGGATTGGAAAAACAAAAGCCAAATTCCTGGCTTTTAAAATAATAATACAGTAAGTTCCCTTCACATTTCGAACTTCCAAAGATGTGAACGTGTGTTCGCACGTCCAGTCACGTAAGTTAGTTCATGTGTCTGGCACGCATTGTCCTGTGCATGGTTCCTCTACAAGTGGTTGTGCTTTTGTGCACTTTACTATCCTGTGTTTGTTTTTTATGTATTCTTTGTGTGAAAAGTATTATAAATCTATGACAGTACATACTATATAGCCGACTGTGTTAGTTGGGTACCTAGGCTAACTTTGTTGGACTTACGAACAAATTGCACTGACGAACAAGCTCTTGGAATAGAACTCGTTCGTATGTAGGGGACTTGCTGTACATTGATCCATGTATAACAAATATTATTGAAAAGACAACTGTCTTCTTCTGCCCCCACTGCGCCTCCCTCCCCCTTCCCATAGAGTGTCCGTGAGTGAGGAGGGGACCCCGTTGGAGAATAAGTGAAGGGTCCCCTGCGTGGGGTGGGCAGCGTGATGGAGTCCGCCCTGAGGTTTCGGGGTCTGTGACAGAGAGGACGTGTCGGCAGCATGGAGACTGGGAGACGGTGGCCTCACCGAGAGACCTGGGGCCGCGTGTGCCAGAGGACTGGTCTAGAAAATGCAGTTGGGGTCCGGGCACGAAGGATGGAGATGTGGCCCCTGTGCTGCCAGGGGTGGGAGGGCATCTGAGGTCCTCAGGCCCCTGGTGAATCCCGCTGGCTGATGAGGGTGCGGAGGTGGGCCTCTGGGCTTGAGGGTCCTCAGAAGGCAGGCGAGATGAGTGGGAAATGTCGTGGCAAGTCCCTCAGCGTCTCAGGGCTGTCTTTGGTAGACATGAGCTCCAGGGGACCCAGTGGAAGCCAGCGAGCAGCCAGTCTCCGTCCAAGGGGCTGGGTCTGTGGCCTGAGCAGAACACAGGAGAGTCCTGTCCCCCTGGGGCCGCATCTTGAGCGGAGGGCACCCTCTTCCAACTGAGACGAGGCGACCCCTGTGTAAACGCCCCGGTTGGGGTCTGGCTGGGGGGATGCAGTGCAGACCCTGGAGGGGATTGACCTGAGGGTGACTGAGAAGTGATGGGTTGGACTAGTTCTGCTGGTGGTGCATAGACTGTATTTACTGTAACAGCTGACAGAGGTGTCGGGTCAGCAGCTGCAGCTCAGGTGCAGACAAGTCCATCGATGCGTACCTGGGTCATACTTGTGAACATTCACAACTGTGCTGACAGAAGTTTTCAACGGTTTTGTGAGGTGGTGGACACAGTATCATGGGGGTTGCTGACGCTTGAGTGAAAGCATTTTCCTGTGTCCCAGGTCCCACGGGGGAGCTTTGCTCTAGGCGTTTTTGGTTCTGTCAGGCAGAGGCAGACTGTGGCTAATTAAAAGGTTTATGAAGACTCTATTCCTAGTTCCCATTTAATTCACTTTAGACATTTTAATATGTCATGCCAGTTTAATACACTGAGCCTATTGATACAGCATGTCAGATCCTGAAATAACACATTATAGCATCGATAATATTGTGCTCTGTTGTAATTTTATTTCTGAGAAATACTTAATTTTTGGTCAACTTTATTGAGGTTGAATTACATGTGCTCAACTATTGAATAGTATGAATGTGTTAACTGTGGTGTTGATTTACAGATTTAAAAGGAATGCTCTGATTGTATACTTTTCATTTATAGAGAGTTTTATAAACAATTTCTTATGTACAGTGAGCACGAGTTGAAAAGAACATTACAAAATCTTTCTGCCTTACGGAATGTTCTAAGATGGCCCTGCAGGACATTCCTTGTGGCTTTGGCTGGTAGAAGACATCACCTTTAATTAGGATGGCGTGGACTGCTGGATGTGGTGGGAGGGCCTACCGTTTATTCTGTGCGTGTCCTTGACCTCTATTGCCTCACTCAGACACATCACTCCTCTGTCCTCATTTTACTAACGAAAACTTGGGCTCAGAAGGGCTGCGGGGCCCATTAGCACAGCTAATAAGTGACCAAGCCGAGGTCCACCTTCATCTCTGCCCAGCTTCCCAGTCTGTGCCCTTCCTCATCTTCTCCTCTCCCGACGTGGGGAGGGCTGACTGTCACCTGGGTGAGCCCCCCCTTGATCTGTCTTCACCATTCTCCATGCTTCACTTTGGTAGCACCTGGGAGCTAGAAGCCTAAGTTCGTAACATAATTTCAGCCTCTGAAATGTTCACAGTGAAGGGCATATCCTCAGGCTTCTGGGGAAGGTAGCTCAGGACGTGGAAGAGAGAGTTTCATGTTGGCTCAAATCTTGACGCTTGGGGATGACATGGAGGTACCTCTCAGCTGAAGCGGCTCCAGTGAGGAAGCTTTGGTGTCCTGTTTTCGCATATTTCTGTTTACTCGGTGTTATGGGAAAGGCTCTGTGGCCCGGGGGTGGGGACAGCCCTTACATGGCAGTGGTACCCAAAGTACAGCCCCCTGACCGATAGCATCCTAAGAACAGGTTAGAAATGCAGTTTCTTGGGCTCCCCCCAGACCTACTGGATCAGCCTCTGGGGATGCTGCCTAGCAAGCTGTCTTCTCTTTTTTTTTTTCTTTTTTTGCTGTACACGGGCCTCTCACTGCTGTGGCCTCTCCCGTTGCGGAGCACAGGTCCCGGACGCGCAGGCCCAGCGACCATAGCTCACGGGCCCAGCCGCTCCGCAGCATGTGGGCTCTTCCCGGACCGGGGCACGAACCCGTGTCCCCTGCATCGGCAGGCAGACTCTCAACCACTGCGCCACCAGGGAAGCCCTGTCTTCCCTTTAATAATCTTTCCAGGGGAGGTTTTGCAGCAGTTTGAGGACCACAGCTTTATGGCCCTGAAGAGAGCTCGTTCGTGTTTTATTTGTAGGTAAAACTCCACCCTAGGTACTGGGTTCCTGATTCTTTGATATCTGTGACCTCATCAGGAACCCTATACAGCCATCCTCAGTCACCTGGTTAGAGCTGGGCCGTCCAGGGTAGGAGCCGATCGCCACACTTGGGTATTAGGCACTTGAAATGTGCCTAAGTCTAAAAGAGACATCAGATTTCATAACCTTCGTGTGAAAAGCATGTAAACTATTCTGTGAATATTTTTATATTGATTACACATTGAAATGACAATATTTTGGGTATGTTGGGTTGAATAAAATAAAATGAATTTCAGCTTTTTTTTTTTTTAATGTGAAAAAAGTTTAAGAAACATATGGAAGTTTAAGGTAACGTATGCAGCTTGCCTGCGTTCCACTTCTATTGGATAACGCTGTTAAAGTTCCACATCCATATAGATAAAGAGGTTATTCACGTTTGGAGAGCCTGGGTGTGTTATCGTGTGTGGAGCAGAGAAGCCTCCGTTTTTCCCTCTCAACCCAGCTCCCCAAACTCGAACGCCGACTCAAGGGATGACCAGGTTTGTGCGCTGCGGTTGCTTGGGTCGCGGCTGCCCTGTTCTGAGCTCAGTGGTGCCGCTGAAGACTTTCTGCCCATGACAGGCGGGAACACAGCTGCCCAGGGATGTAGGTGGATGGGGATCTTTGTGAAGGATCCTCTAAACAATCAAATGCTCTTTTTTTAAATGCTGTTTTGACCTGAAAGTAACATTGGAAGCATTAAACCCTGAGGAAAGAACAGAGGCACATTTGAAAGCAGAAGTATTTCTCTAGTCCCGTGTCTGTGGGAGAAAAGTTGTAAGAGTCAAGTACGGATTTCTGTGACTGGGAATAAGGACTATGCTGAGTCATTCTTGGTCAGCCTGATTTTAGTTTAACTTTAAATCTTTCAAGGTGTGACGCATTCATTATGACCCAGCCTGGAAGGGCTCACGTCCGTAAGAATGGAAGAGCCCAGCCCACTTGCTTTCAGTTGGATTATTGAGATGTTTGAAGTCTTCTAGGTTCTTGCTAATGTAAAAATTGTCACTAACTTGGTTTTTATTTCCAATTTCAGAAAAAGTGGTGTGAATACTTCATCCTAAGTAATATAGACGTTTTTGAATTTTGGAATCTGGATTTAACTCACCTTTCCGACTTAAGTGATGAGCTTTTATTGAAGAATATAGCATTTTACTATGAAAATGAAAGTGTTCAAGGTACCACCCTAGTATCTTATAATAATTATGCCTTTACCCAGAGATAAACATTATAAAGGATTTAAAGCTTCAAAATTATTTTCCTATACTTGCAACATATAGCAGTCATTTTCTTTCAGATATTTATTTATGCATGTATATAAGTTTTACTTAGTTGCAATCAGAGTGAATGTTGTATTTAAAAATATTTTTAACTTAATATTACTCCACAAGTATTTTTGGAAAAAATACATCTTTGGGAACTTGGCATTTCTAGATAATTGTAACAGGTGAATTTTTCAGTTAAATATACGCAGAACATTTTTCAGAATATTTACTCTAATTAACGTAATCACGTACTACTATTAGATATTTAGGGAATTTTAAGTTTTTCCAAAGATAAAGCTGATTTATATAATTGTTGTATATAATTAATTTTTCTTTCTTGGAACAATTTTATTAGAAGAAATCTTCTGCTGTTTATTCGTAGTCAAAGAAAAATAAAAGACATTTTAAGAGAACTAAAACTGATTGAGCATTATTGAAGCTTCTTTGACCTCTAAGATTTGGTTCCTACATATTGCAAGTGTTAGAATGAGTTAGCTACAAATAAATTTAGCAATCCTCTACAAACCTTCTCATTTTTGAAAAATCATAGTTTTATTCTGTTTTATTGATTATAAAGTTATTTGTGACATAACATTTTTTGTTACCTTGAAGAATAGTTAGATATTCACCATCTGTTATTGTTAGTTAAGGCAGTTATAATGTTAATAGTTATCAAATAGGGAAACAGGATAAACTTTAAAGTCTCCAGCCCCACAGTCAACACTAGGGACCGTTTGGCTCTAGGTTCCGTGTGGCACTCACAGAAAATTTCACTGTTTGACAAGTATTTCAGAGCTCTGTGAATTTAGTTAAAATGTGTGCTTCTGTGTATGTGTGAATGACTTTCAGTGTTTACTACTTTGAACTCATGTAGGGCTACATTTGAATTTGGGAAATGGCATTATGAAAGATTATGAACATCTCTGGGATACTGTATCAAAGTTGGTCACAAAGTTTGATGTTGGAAAGCCATTTCCTCTGAGAACAGAACAATTTCCTTTTCTTAAAAAGGATCCATCACCAATCAAAGGTAATAAATCTCTAAATTAATTTGAAATAAAAGCATTGTTCCTCTGAAAATGTTTTGAAAGCACCAGTAACTAAATGTTGCAAGTATAAATAATTTTCGGGTACTATGCATTTAAAATGACCTATACTGTCTTATCCTTGGGGAGATAATCCTTTGAGTATAATTTTGAACAGTGATACGTTTTCCTTGTAACTAATGTTGTTGCCAATTTTTAAGAAAGCCAGTGACTTCTATTACTATCAATCTGAAGTGTAGATCAAGTGAAAAATCTCTTGTGCGTAATGATGGAAAAGTTAGATAAGAGACACCAAACACCTTTTTACAAAATCGTAAGTAAGCTCAAAACAATAGGAGGGAAATTCCAGGAGCCAAACATGAAGGGAGAGACTGATCTCTGGGTCACTCTGAGAATTTCTAATTGTAGGTCTGCCCTCCTAAGAATCTGGGTTTCAGTGTACTCAGTCAGCAGAGTCAAGACAACTCTAAACCGGAAAATAACCTTCAAGCGATCAAAGGAATCTGGTGTGTTCTCTGTAGAGGAACATCCTCATATACCCTGATTTTACAGGGCTTCTCTGCCACATACGAGTGCACATGCAAATTTATAAACAGCAGAGAAATAAGCCCCCGGACAAACAGTAAGCTGCAAAACGAGAACTCTTAAGTATTTCAGATTTTGTAATTGTCACAAGTAGAATATACTATATGTATGTTTAAAAATGCTTGAAGAAATAAAATATGAAATTTGAAACGTGAAAAACAAAATGATAGAAAACATCTTCACATTTTAAAATATTCAAAGTTGTAGAAATGAAAAGACTCAATGGATAGGTTCAAAAGCTGATTGGATTTGGCTAAAGAGCGAATTTGTGAGCTAGAAATAGATCAAAAGAACTACAGGTACAATAGTGATGAACACATTACATACCTTAAAATTTACACAGGGTTATATGTCAGTTATATCTCAAGCTGGAGAAATTTTAAAAGAACCGGAAAACAAACGAAAGAAATAGAGATAAAAAATGATAAAATACATGTTAAAAGACATGGAAGACAGAATGAAGCTGTCTAATCTTTCGTTCATTTGGAGATTTGGAAGGAGAGGCCAAGCCAGTGTAGATTGGGCCATATTTGACGAGACCGTGGCTGGCGTTTGCCTGGACGATGAAAGACAGGGATTTGCGCACTCAGGGCATATGATGAGTCCCGAGTGGGACAAAGCAAACGTATGCATATGCACACGCACACGCACACGCACAAATATACACACTAGGCACGATGCAGTGGGATTAGAGAATGTAAAAAATAAATATCTTAAAAGGACCAGAGTTACCTACAAAGGAATAAAAATTAGTCTCTAATAATAGACTTCCCCAAATATCATTATAGAAGTCAGAACATAATGAAATCATATGTTATTCTTAAAATACAGTTTTAAAAAATGAGTAGCTTGGACATTTTTCAAAATACAAACGCTGATTTATCCATCATCCTGTCGTCACTGGAGACATTTCTATATCATGAATTTCAGGAAGAATAAAATGACCCCAGATGGAAAGTGACAAAGAAAGCTAAGGGATGTATATGTATAACTGATTCACTTTGTTGTAAAGCAAACTAACACACCATTGTAAAGCAATTATACCCCAATAAAGATGTTAAAATTAAAAAAAAAAAAGAAGAATGCTAAGGGGGGTTGGGGATGTATTGATACAAGTGTATTTTTCAGAGTACAGGGGAAGGATATCTATCCCCTTTCATTATGTCAGAATGAGTTCCACCAGACAGAGACGCTTGAGAGCAAGGAGTTTATTGTTCCCAGGAAGATCCAATAAGGGAGTGCTTAGGTAATACCAGGAAGAAAACACAGTCGGTGCAGGCCGTGTTATTGCGTAGGTTTCCACGTGGGCAACTACAGGTAAGTTTTACTGGGAACCCTAGAACTGTGTGCAAACCACTTTGGAGATGTCTTACCCAAAGACGAAACCTTGTGAGTTTCGTCAAGTCTCAGGGGGCATGAAATCCTTAGGACTCTGGCTGCGCCCAAGGCTGCAAGAAGAAAGTGCTCAGGGAGAGTTGTAGGGACTCGTAGGAAGGTTTCAGGCAAATGCAGGAACGGTGGACATCAAGGAAATACCGAGCAGGGCAATTGCAGCTCACCTAGAATTATGAACCAGACACTGGATAAAGGGGCATTTGTTAGCCAGCTGTTGTATATACGATCAATATGTGATGTGTGATATCCATCTATCATATGTAGGTGTACATGGGCATAACATCAAGGAGGATGTAAGAGAAGACTAATGATATAACATAATTTCATTGACATCTGTATTTTCCCCCTACTTCTTTTTTATTTTTATAAAAGCATATATGAGATTTCTGAGTGAGAGTTCCATATTTAAATTCCTTGTCTCATAATAGTAAATAAGAAAAGGAACAAACATTTGAAATAGGAAACATAGGCGTTTTTCTGTCTGTCAGTGTATCTCTTCATCCATCCATCCATCCATCCGTCTATCTATCCTTCTATCTACCTACCTACATGCCTAATTGCTGCCTATTTCTTTATATTCTGCCGTGTTCCAGAATGTTTTAATGTGGAAAATAGCTTTATGGGAAGGGCTAGAATTGATTAACGTAAATAAATAAGATCAATGAAACATGATGTTTTTTTAAATGTGAAATTTTAGAAAATGATATGTAACATTGCTGTATGAAAGTTTCACATTTGACCTTGTCTTACTACTTTTTTACAGATACCTCCAAGGAAAAGATGGCTAATTTGGGTTTTATTCCAGTGTCATGTCAGGTGGTTGATAAGTTTGCCGGGGACCTTTTGAAAGATTTGCCTTTCCTAATGAGGTATGGGAGCCCCTGGGTGGAATGGATGAATGACTCATTAGAGCTTTTACAAAGTTGGACAGATTATTTATAAAGAGGTTATATTAGATGTAACCTGTGTTTGTAACACATAATGAGTTTAGTTTCAAATTTACCAATGTCTTGTGATCCTAACCAGCTTAAAAATCAACATAGTTTTAACCTTAGAGTAAAATCATTCCAGCTGTGTGTTTGTAATTAATGAATGAGTGGATGAATATTTGTTGATGTCCATGGCACGAGATATGGGGTGGATTCTGGGTTCTGAAGCCCCATTAAACTGCTCTTTGGATTCTATCACCCACATTGTATCTCGGAAAGAGGAAAAGTGGCTATGATTTTTAAAAAAAATTTTTTTTAAATGAGATCTATGCTGTGCTGTATTGGGAGGCACGCAGTTTAAAATGTGCCTATATTTCTTTTCATCTCATAGCGATGATCCTATTGTAACTTCACTGGTCAAGCAGAAAGAATTTGATGAGCTTGTGCACTGGCATTCTCACAGACCCCTTAGTGATGATTATGACAGGACAAAGGGTCAGTTTGATGGTGAGTTCTGTGATTCTGGTGAAATACCTTAACATCTATTTCACTTTCTGCCTTTTATGTTACAATGAAAAAATTTTCTATTTCTTGAATAACAATAATGTACAAGGTACGTAGATATATGTCAGTAAAGAGGGTGAGGAAAGAGCCCCACTTTGCTGACCGTCATGTGTACAGGGGCACACAGCTGTCTTAGGAGCAAGTGCACAGAGGTGGCATTTGTCCCACAAAAGTTAGCAGCTGTTTTAAGCCAAGACAGTTTATAGTTTAAGACACCTGTGTGCTCCCTGATGGCAGAAATACTGAGGCTGTAGGCTTGCAAGCAGTAGCAGCTGCTTTCACGTCACCCGTAACAAGGGCAGCAGTTTACCCACCTTCACGCTCGGGATGGAGGCTGTGGCACCACTGAGAGCAAGTTAGCCGAGACTGACTTAGGGACCCTTTTCCCCGGCTCATCCCTTGTCTTCTTTTGTCTACCCCATGCTCACCCCCACCCTGCTTCCAGTGGACAGAACTTACCTTCAGAAGAATCTCAGAGTGGACCTAGTAAGCATGTTCCCACGGAACACTTCCCAGCCTGCTGTTAGAAACAACTACTAATATCCTGAAAAATACAAGGGAGTTTTTCGATCAATCATTAACATCCTTCGGAGCCGTTTGATTTACATATGTAGATACAGATATAGAAAAATCAGCCTGCTTAACAATCCCTTGAAGTGAGTGCTGTAGTTTTCTCTGGGGATGGGAGTAAGTCATACGTTCAGTGTTGGGATTTCCTATGTCATTGGAGTTTTCCACAGTGAGTCTTTCTGAGCTGCCAAGTTCTTGGCTCTGTGGCCATGGTCTGGAGTAAGGATTTTTCTGTCAAGTGATACAAGAAGCCGTGATACCCTAGATGGACATCTTCCTGATTTGGCCTTAACCTTCCCCCTTCTTTTTTTTTTTTAATTAATTAATTTATTTATATTTTTGGCTGCATTGGGTCTTAGTTGCTGCGTGCGGGCTTTCTCTAGTTGCGGCGAGCGGGGGCTGCTCTTCGTTGTGGTGCACGGGATTCTCACTGTGGTGGCTTCTCTTGTTGCAGAGTGTGGGCTTCAGTAGCTGTGGCACGTGGGCTCAGTAGTTGTGGCTCGCAGGCTCTAGAGCGCAGGCTCAGTAGTTGTGGTGCACGGGCTTAGTTGCTCCGCAGCATGTGGGATCTTCCCAGACCAGGGCTTGAACCCATGTCCCCTGCATTGGCAGTGGATCCTCAACCACCGCGCCACCAGGGAAACCCTACCTTCCCCCTTCTTAACTTCATTCACAGGGCACAAAACAGAAGTAATGCCCAGAATCTGTCATTCTTTGTAGCATCTTGATATTTGCTTTGAGAGGTGTACAATAAAAGGGTGTTTTGTCCCTTGCATCCTTTAAATAAAGTAAGGAATCATTCTGTGGACAAGAGATGGTGTGATTTAAGATTCCTTCTTTAACAAAAGTCATCAGCCTAAGTTACTGTTCCAAACTAAAAAGAAAAGTACACGTGTGTGTGGGATGGTGTGAAGGATTAGTGAGAACGCTGTTGAAAATATGTAGTAGTGTTGCATTTTAAGCCTTTTCTTTTCCAGAAAAATCTAGAGATCCTCGTCATCTTAGATCTGTGCAAACGTATCATCGTTTTCAACGATTTTATGGGAAGTCATTAGAATCGGTCTCTTCAAAATTTGTTGTACCTCAAGCTATCAAGCCAAGGAAGAATTTCTGTGAACCCAAGAGCAAAAAGATACAGGTAGGTTATATTCATTCTATCAAATTTTTTTTTACTTTTCATTGTCCTTTATTGTTATTTGTTCAATCCCTTCGATAGTTGCTTTCCATGCTACGTTTTTAGAAAAGTAAAGGGATGGGAAAGATACTCCATGCAAATGGAAACCAAAAGAAAGCAGGGGTAGCTATACTTATACCATAGAAAATAGACTTTAATACAAAGACTGTAGTAAGGGAGATAGAAGGTCATTATATAATGATAAAGCTGAAAACCTGAAAGCTTTTTCTCTAAGATCAGGAACAAGACAAGGATGCCCAGTCTCACCACTTGTATTCAACATAGGACTAGAAGTTTTAGCCAGAGCAGTTAGGCAAGTAAAAGAAATAAAAGGCATCTACATTGGAAAGGAAGAAGTAACACTGCCTGTTTGCAGATGACATTATGTTATATAAAAACCCCACCAAAAAACTGTCAGAACTAATAAATGAATTCAGTAAAGTCACAGGATACAAAATCAATATACAAAAATCTGTTGTGTTTCTATACACTAATGATGAACTATCAGGAGCAGAAATGAAGAAAACAATCCCAATTACAATTGCATCAAAGAGAATAAAATACCTAGGAATAAATTTAACCAAGGAGGTTACAGTACATTGAAAACTACAAGACAGTGATGAAAGAAATTGAAGAGGATACAAATGAATGGAAAGATATTCTGCGCTCATGGATTGGAAGAAAGAATATTGTTAAAATGTCCTCACTGCCCAGTGCAATCTATAGATTTAATGCAATCCCTATCAAAATTCCAATGGCATTTTCCACAGAAATAGAACAAACAATCCTAAAATTTGTATGGAGCCATAAAACACCCTGAATAGCCAAAACAATCTTCAGGAAAAAGAACAAATCTACAGGCATCACACTCCCTGATTTCAAGCTATATTACAAAGTTATAGTAATCAAAACAGTATGGTATTGGCATAAAAACAGGTACATGGGTCAATGGAACAGAATAGAGAGCCCAGAAATAAACTCAAGCGTGTATGGTCAATTAATTTATGACAAAGGAGGTAAGAATATACAATGGAGAAGAGACAGCCTCTTCAATAAATGGTGTTGGGAAACCTGGACAGCTACATGCCAAAGAATGAGGCTTGGAACCCTATCTTATACTATACACAAGAATTAACTCAAAATGGATCAAAGACTTCAAGACCTGAAACTGTAAAAGTCCTAGAAGAAGCATAAGCCGTAAGCTCCTTAACATTGGTCTTGGTGATGATTTTTTGGATTTGACACCAATGGCAAAGGTAACAAAAGCAAAAATTGACAAGTGAGATTGTATCAAACTAAGAAGATTCTTCATAGCAGAGGAAACCATCAAAGAAATGAATAGGCAACTAACTACAAAATGGGAGAAAATATTTGCAAATCATACATTTGATAAGGGGTTACTATCTAAAATATACAAAAAACTCATACAACTCAATAGCAAAAAATAGAACAATCTGATTAAAAAGTAGGCAGAGTAACTAAATGGTTATTTTTCCAAAGAAGACATGCAGATGGCTAACAGGCACATGAGAAGATGCTCAACGTCACTAGTCATAGGGGAAATCAAATCAAAACCACAATGAGATATCGACTCACACCTGTCAGAATGGCCATCATTAAAAGGGCAAGAAACAACAAGTGTTGGCCAGGATGTGGAGAAAAGGGAGCCCTTGGGCACTGTTGGTGGAAATGTAAATTGGTGCAGCCACTATGGAAAATGGTATATTTCCTCCAAATATTAAAAATAAAACTACTATATAGTCCTGCATCCCATTTCTGGTATTTATCCAAGAAAAGAAAACAGGATGTAGAAGAGATCTCTGCACTCCCATGTTCATTACAGTATTATTCACAGCAGCCAAGATACGGAAACAATGTAAGCATCCAGCAAGGGATGAATGGATAAAGAAGATGTGGTCTGTATATATATTGGAATATTATTCAGTTACAAGGAGGAAATTCTGCTATTTGTGACAGCGTGGTTGAACCTAGAGGTGCTAAGTGATGTAGGTCAGACAGACAAGGCTGATACTGCGTGGTGTAACTTACACGTGGAATCCAAAAGAAAAAAAAGTTCAAACTCATAAAAACAGAGAGGAGAAACATGGTGACTAGAGTGGATAACCATACATCATATCATTGAATTTGCTAAGAGAGTAGATTTTAAATATTCTCCCCTCGCTCCTCCCCCAAAAGATAAATATGTGAGTTGATGAGTGGGTTAATTAACTCAGTGGGGAGAACCCTTCCACAATGTACATGTATATCAAGCCACCGTGATGTACACTTTCAATATCCTACAATTTTTCAATTATACCTAAAGTTAAAAAATATTTGAGCAGACATGAGGACTTTTGCTTTAATAGTCAACAAGCCACCTCAGGCCCAGCTTGGTGGTCTTTGTTTTTCTCCTCGTGGTGACAACCTCCTTTTTATTTTCACAGCCAATTTGATCTTTATTGAGACCATCCAATTACAACGATTCCTTTTTTATTTACTGAAAAGCTTCTTTTATATAGTTTTTTTTTCCGAGAGAGAGAGGTTATAAAATAGAAAGTTGGCAAAAATTCTAATTACCTAGTGTAAGGTATAAAGACTGAAAAAAGTTTCATGTTTTTTTTATCTTCTGCATTATTGGAAATTAAGTAAATTATCTCGTGGAGATTAAACAACCTCAGCACAGTGTAAATGTGCTCTTCCAGCAACACTTCAAGCTAAAACAAACACATTGTACCTGGCAAAGAGCCAGGGCTTGTCCTTGTCCTAACTGAGACTGAACCATGCCGAGCTATCCCAGGACAGGACAGTACATTTGGGAAGTTGAAACATTGGAGAAGCTCCACTGATTCGAATTAAATACTGAGAAAGTGATGACAATGAAAATTGACTTCATTAAAGGCAAAGTTTAGATATGAGTTTCATGACTAAGTAGAATAATGGAAGGTTTGTCAGTGTTCTCTTATGGATACAACAGTTCTCTAATTTTCTTTGCACATTAATAAGTCAAGTAGGTAAAAGTGTAGTAGAAGTGGGTCTATATTGTGTGTAAGTTGGTTAGAAATGCTTGTCTAGACAGAGCAAACCGGTTTATTTATGATATTCCTTCCTACCTGCCCCTTCCTCATTCACCCATAAAAGAGGATGAACTTGTGCTGTGCTTGGGACACACCGACAACTATTGCACATTCCTGTCTCATGACAAGGAAAATCACAACTGCATTGTGTGTGATGAGCATTTGATAGAGAGACGTCCGGGCAGGGGAGGAATACGTACTTAGGCTGGGAGAGTTGAGCAAGGCTTTGTGGAAGAAATATCTAGAAGCACAAGTTGGGGTAGAGAGGTGACCATGGGGAATGAAAGAGGAAAACCAATTCCCGAGAGATCAGGAGACAGAAAAACCAGGGTCCTGGTGTTTCTGATTGTATTACAGTTACTCTTCAATTTATAACCTACACCACTTAGAAATCTAGAAAAATTGTCTGCACAGAGGCGTCATAGTCATTAAGTTGGATTGTCCAAAGATTTCAATTCACAGAGGCTTCAGTGTTAAGAAACAGACACTGAAATGAAGATTGTGCCTTGTCAAGAGTGGGATGACGTTCAAAATAATCAATATACACTTAAAACTATTGTCTCATTCATGCAATGGCATCTTGGACTATTTCCAACTTGTTTTATGACATGTTTCCTTCTTTTTTGGGGCAGGAGACCAAGGCTGAAAAAATTGCTAGAGAGAATAAGGAGAGGCTGTTTGCCAAGGAAGAAGAAAAAGAAGAGAAAAAATGGAATGTTCTGTCCTTTTCTATTGAGGAGGAAATGAAAGAGAATTTAAACTCTGGAATAAAGAACCTAGAAGATTTTTTGAAATCATGTAGAAGTAGCTCAGTGAAATTTCGAGTTGAAATGGTGGGGATTACTGCCTGCTTGAGAGCGTGGAAAGAACATTGCCGTGGTGAAGGTATGTGGCTGTGAGTTCCTGTTGATTTGTTTGTTTGAATACATTGGAAAAGAATAAAAATCTAATGATGATAACTGTTATTTATTAACTGGAAGTCTGTGTTAGAAGGCTTAGGGAAGCCTTAGATGCATTATCTGATTTTGTCCTTGGAGAAGTCCTCTCAGTACTACTACCTCTATTTTATCAATGAGCAATGAAGTCTCAAAGGGGGCCCCAGTAGCAAAGATACAGCACATTCATAAGCAAATTCAAATCAATTCCTTATCACTTACATGTGGGATCTAAAATATGACACTAATGAACTTACCTACGAAACAGAAACAGACATGCAGACATAGAGATCAGACTTGTGGTTGCCAAGGAGAGGGGGAGGGAAGGATTGGGAGTTTGGGATTAGCAGATGCAAACTAGTACATATAGGATGGATAAACAACAAGGTCCTACTGTAGAGCACAGGGAACTATTGGAAAAGAATATGAAAAAGAATGTGTATGTATAACTGAATCACTTTGCTGTATAGCAGAAATTAACACAACAATGTAAGTCAACTACACTCCAATAAAAAAAATTCAAATCAATTCCCAGTCAAAGTTTACAAACAACCACTTAGAGAGTTGTGGGCCTCGTTAAGGGGACCCACAGATGGCGAGGTCCCAGGGAGAGTCTGTCATTCATCTCTGAGATCTGAAGCGCGAGCATTTTCTTTCTGGGCAAAACTCGGATCATGTTCGCCTGGCATGCTGAGTTCTTCCAGAAGTTGCTGTGGTTTCCATGTGCTCTACTTTACAACTGCTACAATAGATAGTAGAAAAGAAAAGAAGAGGCAGGAAGAGGCAGGTAAGAGAGAAACATGGCTGGATAGAGACGTGTAAGTTGATGGCAGGTGAAATGATGAGGGGCCAGTATGCCTCCAAACTGACAGTACTTCCGAGTACACCTCATTGACCGGTCTGTCTTGGTCGTCTCCGCACTTGAATCCGTTGAACACGGGGTCACTGGGGGTTCTTCTCCCCCCTACCCCGTCATTCTACAAACTTCAATCTGCCCCTGCAACGACAGACTTCGCTGAGGATTTCATCCCAGGGAGAAGCATAAGACTTGGCCTCTGTGGGTCTCTCTAAGATGTTGTGTCAGGATTTGCAGTTGCCCTGAGAGAGATCAGGATTAACAGTGGCTTAAATTTCTTTTGTAGCCTTTATAGCATCAGCATGTGTTTGGTAATATTTGTTAAATAGATAAAATGTAGGTTGATTGGAAGAAAGGGCGAATCAAAACTGCCCTAACATGTGAAGTATGAAAAGACCAGCCGTGAGGGGGACTAGAAAGGATGTAAGTGACTGTAAAGAAATGGACAGGGATTAGCAAGGTTTGGATCTGGTAGGTGTAACAGACTGAATTTAAAGGCTCCAGTGATTACACCAGATACTTATCTCTGGTCACCATTAGGGTTCAATAAATGTTGCCAAGTTTTTTTTTTTTTTTTTTTTTTTTTTTGCGGTACGCGGGCTTCTCACTGTTGTGGGCTTCTCACTGTTGTGGCCTCTCCCGTTGTGGCCTCTCCCGTTGTGGAGCACAGGCTCCGGACGCGCAGGCTCAGCGGCCATGGCTCATGGGCCCAGCCGCTCCGCGGCATGTGGGATCTTCCCGGACCGGGGCACGAACCCGCGTCCCCTGCATCGGCAGGTGGACTCTCAACCACTGCGCCACCAGGGAAGCCCAAGTTTTTAACCAGATATTTAGACTCATCTGGACATTTTTCTTTGAACATGGTAGAGAAGACATGGAAAGATTTGTATTCCTTAGAACTTAGACCAACTTGGGCTTTAGTGATCTTATTTCTATCATGAGCTACAAGATTGTCCTTTTTCCCCCAACACTTACAGAGCTACATCTCAGTTATCCACAGAGATGTCGGAATGTGTTTAGTTGCACTTTCATTTTATTGAGTTTTCTGTATTCCAAAACCTCCATTAATGCTAAGTAAGACAATGAATTTAGTTGGGTCAGGTTGATAGCCTGAGTGAATAATCTTGGACAATCAAACATTTATTATTTTTGATGGCCTTTATAACAGTTTTGCTGTTTATTCTTTACCAAGGTGAAACCACAAAAGATTTAAGTATAGCTGTTCAAATGATGAAAAGGATCTACTCCGTGATGGAAAAATACCCAGAACTTTTGCAAGAGGCAGATCGGCAACTCATAGCCAGATGCCTTAGGTACTTAGGATTTGAGGAGTTGGCAAGTACTTTGCATCCAGCGCAGGTAATGTTTTCAGAATAGCTCCATTCTAGTAGAGTAATTATTAGGTGCACCTCAAGTGTCTTATAAGCACAGTTACCTGGGTTTTTTTTTTCACTGAAAATATTTACTCCAAGTTCATAATCATTATTAGTAATCCAGCTCCCCCAACTTGAAGTAACCTAGAATTAGAAAATTTTACAAAAGCTTCTCTGGACAAAAATGCCAGATAGTCTCTGCAGACCCTTAAAACTAATCCTGTGTTTAATTCTAGCAAAACATTTAAAAACTATATTGCGACTGTTCAGTTGTCTTGATATCAGGTTGTAGCTCAAGTGCCGTGATGGATATCTGAAGATCTTGATGTGTGCTATTTACTCTTAGTTAAGATAATGATTTAGGTGGTAAGAGATTTCTTCAATGAATATTGCAAACTTTGAAAGATGGTAAAATGCTTTTCTCGTAAAAATTAGTTTTCAGTTATTTTAAAAAATATTTTTAATCATTTAAAGGATGTTATAATTTACAATCACTTTCAAAATGGGCTTGTAAACTCCTGTAGGTCACAGAAAATGACATGAAGGAGAAGAAGAAGAACAAATACTCAGTTGGCATTGGGCCGGCTCGGTTTCAGCTGCAGTACATGGGCCAGTATTTGGTACGAGATGAGAGGAAAGATCCAGACCCCAGAGTCCAGGACTTTATTCCTGACACCTGGCAGGTAATGACTGGATGAAAGAAACATTTTTGTATTTCATTATTAAATCTGATCTCAGGAGCTTCTCATGATTCCACACAGCACATTTGGCATGAAGTTCTTCATGTTGAGTCATCTTATTTAAAATTGTCATGGGAAATGTCAAATGTAGACTTTTTCCCATTTAAAGAAAGTGAATTTCTCATATCATCCATTTTTCATAAATAGACCATTTTCTTGGAGGTACTCTGATGGATTCACACGTATATATTTGAAGTTCTGTCTTTGTCATCCGACTGTATCATTATGGAGGCTTCCCTGTGTCTGCAGGATATCCTATGTAAATATAGAAATGTGACAGAGACATTCAAGGAGTTTAAACAGTAGAGACAGTTGTTTAGATATTTACAGCCTGTACCCATGACCATAGTAGCTACTTTTCTATAAATAAGTGTAAAATTAATATTGATGGCTAGAAAATTAGGAATAAAAGGGTGCGTTTCTGCATTGATTCAACCTTATAAAATCGCCTCGAACCTTATCAGTTAAACATGTTTGGCTATGAAAATGCCATTTCAGAGGTTCAGTCTAACAGATGGTCTTATCAGAATCTGACTTTATCGTCCTTGTGTTGATGATGCTGGAGTGCCTCAGAAACTCCCTGCCTGCTGTTCTGGGGCAGGGGGACCAGGTCCTTCCTTCCTGAAGTGCAGAACACGAAGCAGCTAAGGACCCTCCAGGTATCTACGCCCGCCTCCGCTGCACTTCTTCTGATGTCGCCTTTGCTCTGAGGTGCGGCCCAGAGTGGACCAGGATTCAGAGAGTGTGCAGGATGGGGCTTTGGGGGGCTTTTCCATCTTCTGCCCATCACACAGGCTAATGATCCTTTCACTAGTCCTCATTTTGATGAATAAAAGAATAGGCTAAAGGGATGAGAGTCTGTTTGTTTTTTTTTTTTTTTTTTTTGGCGGTACGCGGGCCTCTCACTGTTGTGGCCTCTCCCGTTGCGGAGCACAGGCTCCGGACGCGCAGGCTCAGCGGCCACGGCTCACGGGCCCAGCCGCTCCGCGGCATGTGGGATCTTCCCGGACCGGGGCACGAACCCGTGTCCCCTGCGTCGGCAGGCGGACTCTCAACCACTGTGCCACCAGGGAAGTCCCGGGAGCCTGTTTTAATGAAAGTCCCACATGCCCTCCAAAGTACAGGCTGGCATCCTTCTATTTAGAAAGTACAAGATAAGTAGTAAAATGATTCTTCATTGATTTTTTTTTCTGTTCAGCTACTTTTTCACCCTTACAAAAATACATACTCTTAGATCTTCATTTCTCAGAGCCGTTGTGCACTTAGTCAATGATAAGTAATCAGAAAGAATATCTACCCAAGGACAAGATATTTTGTTCAGACCCTCTCTCTGTTTTTCACACACAAACCCACCTCCAGACGCTTAAAAGCACTGCAATTCTCTCTTCTGGGGGAGGCCGTGAGTTCTTCACAAGTTCCCGTGTATCTTTTGGTGTGTTTTCAACTCGCAGCCACTCCTTTGCGGCTCAGAGAATTATGCTGGAAGTGTCTTAAGGTATTTGTTTTGCTAACGTGCTTCTCGTGGCGCTGACACAACGGTGCTCTGACCCTGCAGCGAGAGCTCTTGGACGTCGTGGACAAGAATGAGTCTGCGGTCATAGTGGCCCCCACGTCCTCAGGGAAGACCTACGCCTCCTACTACTGCATAGAGAAGGTGCTACGGGAGGGCGACGATGGGGTGGTCGTGTACGTGGCCCCCACCAAGGTAGGTCTGGGGGCTGGGGGGTTGTTCAAGTGACTTAAATTTTCTCTTTCACTCCCGAACCTCCTCTTTTAGTTTAATGCACGTAGTCATGTGGTAGATCTAGCTCTCTTTATTTTTCTTCGCCATTTATTTTTTTCCACTTTTATTGAGATAAAATGGACGTGTAACCTGTTAGTTTCGTGTGTACAACATAATGGTCAATATTTGTATGTATTGTTAAATGATCACCCCCATAATTCTAGTGAACATGAATCATGAATCACCTCACATAGTTATACATTTTTTGTTTCCTTGTGATGAGAACTTTTAAGATCTGCTCTCTTAGAAACTGTCAGGTACACAATACCGTATTGTTAACGATAGTCACTGTTACATCCCCAGACTTATTTATCTTATAACTGGAACTTTGTACCTTTTGACCCCCTTCACCTGTTCTCCCCGCCCTTAGCCCCACCCTAGCCAACCACCAGGCTGTTTTGTTTCCATGTGTCTCACTTTATTTTCTAACCTGCATTTTCTCCTTCCAGTCCGAGAGGCCAAAGTAATACTTCCCTTAGAGCACTGTGAGGCAGAGGTCTGGTCCTGTGATCTTGTCATTCAGCTTTTTGCTCAAACTGAGAGAAGCATCCCGACTATGTCGGGCAATGTTGAGTCTTTAGGAACCCCGCGTTGCCTCTGCTGTTGATGGGATGCATCCTGTCCGCTCTTGGGCGTCAGTGCCTGATGTGTTTCTCATGCCAGGTGGTTTTGCCATATTTCTTTTATGGCTGGAACCACCTAATGCCGAGCTTAAATACAGAAAGTATGATCTTTGTCATTTAGGAGAAAGGCTGATTTACAGGAAGTATAAGTTTGCATATCCTCATTTACAACCCCTTGTTTTTAATGCGATTACTGTTAAGAAAGCCAGATTTACTTGGGATAACTTTGATTCTACAGATTAAAATGAGATCTCACTCCATTTTAGTTCCTAGGAAAATGTGGCGTTGAGTGACGTGGGATCGGGCTCAGAACCAGACTGATCAACATGATTAGTTGAAATTAGCACTTTAGTTTTGATTGTAACTTTTTCGTTTTTCATGGTTACGAAAGCAGTAAGTGTTCATAGCAGGAAATTAATAAAATATGTCAAGAAAAATGAAGCTTACTGGAGGTGGAATTGGTAATTCAACACAATACATATTCCTCTTCTAAAAGTTTTAGAACCCAAAGGTTTTAGAAGCCAAATTACTCTTCTAAAAGTTTAAATCCATTTTTATTCCCTCTGACAGTATATGGAAGTATATATATCCTCTTATTTTTTTCCAACATTCCTATGATCTTTAAACAGTTTTTGCCATACTGCTAGGAAAAATTTCTGTCTCATGATAAATCTGCATTTCTGTGATCACTGATTGGGGAGCCTTTCCGTATGATTTCTGGGCAGTGATATTTCTTTAATCATGAACTACTTGTTCATGACATCTGCCCATTTTCTTTTTCTTGTAGTGGAAGGGCATTGCCTTTTTATTGATTGGCCAGAAGTCTGTATAATAAGTATATTACTTTTTCTCTGTAAAGTATAACCAATATACTTTTGTCATTTTATCTTTTTGCTATATTGCGGTTATATCAATGATATTTTGTTAATATCTTTGTGTAGTCAGATCTATCAGTATTTCCGTTTAGTGTTTCCGAGTGTGCTCAAATATATGAAAATGTCCACTTTCTAGTATCTTTATGCTTATGTTTTAAAGTTTACATTTTAATCTAGGTGAGACTTTTTTGGGCATAGAGTGTGAAATACAGAGATGTGTATAGGTTTGCACACGCTCAGATTTCGCTGGCCACCACCTGCCTAGTCCGGGGTGTGGGTCCCTGTACACTCGCAGGTAGAGGTCTGGGGATGCCCCCAAATACGAGAACCACACGTCCATCCCGGCTGCCCTCCTTGGCCGTTCTACATAGACTCACGGTTTCTTTCTAAGCCTTGGTGGCCCAGGTATCAGCTGTTTGTTTGTCATGCGTGGGCAGCATTTCCTGCTTTTTCCCTCTGATGAAGCCGGGTTTTCCCATTTTACATTGGGTTGAGGTTATAAGTGAGTTCACGTGTAGTCACAGAGCTCAAAGACAGCCTGTGGATTAGGCCGATGGTAGGAGAAAGGGGTGATGAAGCTTCCTGCCCTCCCAGCAGTATGTAATTTTAGACAGTGCCTGTCGTTCTCTCTCTGAGGTTTCCCCTGTACTTTATTATGTAATTAATGGATATTTTCCCCTGTCAATCAGGCCCTTGTCAATCAGGTGGCAGCAACTGTTGAGAATCGTTTTAGCAAAAATCTGCCAAACGGTGTATCTCTGTGCGGTGTTTTTACACGGGACTATCGTCATGAGGCTCTAAACTCCCAGGTAGGACATACACTAATTAATGCATTTGTTATTGAATTATATGATAGTACTTAGAAGTCTCTTTCAGTAGGAATGCAGTATCTTGACAAGGGCTTGTAGAAGTAATTTTCTTGAATTTATAAAAGATGAAGTGGCTTTAAAGAAAATTTAACAGTGTTATATTCCAGAGAGTAAGAAATGGAGCTCATCTTTCTCAGGCATTTAGCTTTTGATTGCAGATTTCAGTTATATTTCATGGCATCATCTTGGTTTATAAGTGGATCGAAAATGATCTGAAGAACCCCATGTTATAAAAACTGACAAACTGATTTCCATTCAGAATAACTGTTTCTTGACCTTTCTTGATGGGAAGGATACTCATCGTAATTTCAAACTGTTGTATTTATGGATGGACTTCATGGTGTTACGTAAATCAGACAGTTTCCCTCCTTATTAAACTCACTGAAAACAGTTACAGCTAAACAGAAAGTGAAAACGTGACTCTAGCACATTGCATGGTAGATGTGAGATGTGACACCCACATCGCCATTTGTAAGAGCACCGCTGCCCAGGGGCGGGGCGTGAGGTCCGACAGAGGCCGGCTGTCGGCCCCTGTGCTGGCCCACTTTCGGCACCCTGGGACTGAGCGGGGCTGCGGCAGAGACACTGGCCATTTCGGCTGCGTGTGGAGTAGCACTGATGGCCGCCATGCGCTCCAGAGTCCAAGCTAGGTGGGCCAACGCGTCACCAGGTGTGTTCTGAAGTTCACCTTCTCCCTCTGCCCCATCCTCTCCCAACTTCCATAGTTGTTCATTTTTAATCAACGGTTTTCAACGTAAACTGAACCTTGGGGTCAGATTTTGAAGGAATAAACCTGCGACAATGAACTCTTCCTATTATTACCGTGAATGCTTATAAATAAGAATTTAAACTTCAAATCTGATATCTTACCATTCTGACCTATAAAAATTGCAGTGTCACAAGATTCAAACGAATATATCATACTTTACTTAATCAGCAGGTCCCTTCAGGAGTTTTAACTCTCTCTTTTATATTCTTAGAACTACATCTGGGTGTAGCAAGTGCTCAAAAGTGTTTGTTTGCACAATGCTTTTGTTTTTAGGTACTTATCACAGTGCCTGCCTGCTTTGAACTTCTGCTGCTAGCTCCGCATCGCCAGGCATGGGTGAAAAGGATCAGATATGTTATATTTGATGAGGTAGGTTTGGTATTATTTCTCTGGGTTGAGTTCCTGGTTGCATAAGCGCCGCACTGAAGACATTTGCTGCTTCGGGGCATTCATCGTCTGCGTGGAGTTTCGGTTGCAGAGGACACTGTCTTTCCCCTGTGAATCACGCCAGTCTTTGGGCTCCGTTTTCCTGTTCTGGCTCAGGACAGGGTATCTGTGTCTGCGGACCTCTGGATGGCAGAGGAGCTGTCTTTGGTGACCACTGTTTCAGAGGAGTAGAACTCACCACCAGGGCATAAGTTTTCCTGGACAGAGATTCCAAAAATCTGATCTTTGATCTCCAAAGCAAAGAGTTTGGGGCTATAACAATGATGTCAGTTATGTACAGTATCTTGTCAGTCGTGGTCCCAGCAGGAAACAGACGACACGCACAAAATGGACGAATTCAAGAACAGCTTTTTGCAAAGGTGTGTGGGCGGGGGGAACTGTGCCGTTAGTGCAGTAGCCCAGGGCGAGGAGGTGACCCCTCAGCCTAAAGGGACAAGGAAAGATGGTCAATGAGACCCACAGGGAGATTGAGTGTGCTGGCCGCTTTGCAAGGGGCAGCTGCCTTAGCCGAGGAGCACACCTGGCTCAGGGTAACCTGCCAGGAAGGCGGCCAATGGCACAAAGACCTCACCCTCATTTCCTTCAGGTCTCTTGCCCAGGCTCTCCTTTGGCCAAAGCCAATGGAACCAGAGAGCATTGGAGCTCTTTTGAAGTAGCCTCTGTGGGTCAGTTTCCCTGGGCAGAGAGAGCAGGATGGAAAATGATGGACGTTTATAGAGCAAATGAAGGATATTGAGAAAGTTTTTACAGCAGAATTAAGAATATTTATTCAAAGAGACTTAAAACATTATAAAAGAATTCTTTTGCTCCAAGGGGTTTTCAGTTTAAAGGGGAAAATGATGATAAGCCTGTATTTCACGTAATTTTTCCTGTTGTAAAGCTTGAAGCTACCAAGCGAGCTGTGCTTTGATTGGTTTGAATCTGACTTACTGTGTTTTTTTTTCCGCTCATTCTGTATATGCTACATCCTGAAGGCCTTGAATATTCATATTGAAAAAAAAAATCCAACAGCTTTGTCTTGGCAATCTAGAACCTTGAATTGTACTCTAGTCTCAAAGCTTTGAAATGCTGTGACATGGGGTACCTGAGTTTCCCCAATTTTATGTCAGGGTAAAGCCGACGGGCTGGTGTATTATCTGACTAGGGCAAAGCCAAATGGGCAGGGGAAGTTTTTTCTTTTTTTTAATTGTCTGGCTCTGATGGTACGTTCTTTCCAGTTGATTGCCAGGTGTCATAGTTTAATCTGTTTAAAGGAGACCATATTTGAGAATCTTCCCTAAATCTAGTTCCATTTGCTTTATTTGGTCAAAGGACATTCGTTAATTCAGCAAATATATAGGGAGTATCTCCACAATGCCAGGCACTGTTGGTGCTGGGAATGCCCAGGGTAAGTCACAGAATCATTGGAAAAAAGGGGATAGACAGCTACGCCTACCCATGACGGTGGCAGCCCGCATCGGTGTGTATGGTGACGAGATGGATCAGTGTGACCCCACTGTGGTGATGGCAGGGAGACAGCAGGGGGACGGCTCTGCGGTGGCTGGTCAGAAAGTCTTCCCATGGGGCGACATTGAACCGAACTCTGCAAGTTCAAAAGGGGGTAAGAGCAGAAGGAACAATATATGTGGAAGCTCTGGGGTAGGAAAGATGTGGTCAGGGAACAAAGCAAAGTTCAGTGTGTCTGGAGGAAAGTGAGGGCAGGATGGGAGAGAGGCTTGAATGAAGCTGGAGAGGCAGGTGGGGGGCGGTTACTCCCAGCACAACATATACGCCCTGTTCAGGAGTTTATATTTTGTTCCACATGCAATGGGAAGATATTGAAGAAATTTAATTGTGGACATGGCCTGATGGAATTCATCCTTGAGACGTATCTGTTGGCTGTGATGTGAAGTGATCAGGGGATGGCCTGGGAAGCTAGGAGGGTGGCCAGGAGGGTATCGTGATTGACTTGGGGGCCGTGGACATGGAGAAAATACTTAGATCTGAAAGACATTTTGGAAAGTAAGATAAAGAGGAATTATTGATGGATTGGTTATGGGAATTAAAAGAATTTGTGTCAAGATTTTCTCTTGCCTGAATTTGCCAATATTTACGTAAACTTGGCATGGTTGATTAAAGGTAATTGGAGACCATGTATGATGATTCAGGTTTCCCTGTCTTATTTTCATTCGCTGATTTTAAATCAACTGAAAAATAATTTATTTAAAGTAAGCTAAAACAAACAAAAGCAGTTCACCCGTTTCTCCCATGCTCACCTGTTACAAATACCTATTTGTTCTCTATGTCTTTGAGCTTGTTTTTTTGTGTGTGGGTTTTTTTTTTTAAGATTTCACATGTGAGATCATTATTTGTCTTTTTATGTCTGATTTGTTGATTTATTCCACTTAGCGTAATGCCCTTGAGGTCCTTCCATGTTGTCACAAATGGGAAGATTTCATTCTTTTTTATGGCTGAATAATATTCCATTCTGCATATACGTACCACAATTTCTTTATCCACTCATCCTTCAGTGGACACTTAGATTGCTTCATGTCTTGGCTGTTATACATAGTGCTGCAATTAACATGGGGAATGCTTATATCTTTTGGTATATCTTTTGGTATTCTTTGGATAAATACCCCGAAGTGGAATTGCTGGATCATATGGTAACTCTATTTTTAGGTTTTTGAGGAACCTCCATACTGTTTTCCGCAGTGGCTGCACCAGTTCCCACCAACAGTGCACAAGCGTTCTCTTTTCTCCACATTCTTGCCAACATTTGTTATTTGTGTTCTTTTTGATGGTGGCCGTTCTGACAGAGGCGAGTGATATCTCATGTGGTTTTGATTTTCATTTCTCAATGACTGGTGATGTTGAGCATCTTTTCATCTGCCTGTTGGCCATCTGTTTGTTTTCTTTGGAAAAATATCTCTTCAGACCTTCTGCTCATTTTTAATGGAGAACTTTTGTCTTTAATAGGTCCACTGTCTTGGTGGAGAAATTGGAGCAGAAGTCTGGGAGCATCTCCTTGTCATGATCCGCTGTCCCTTCCTGGCCCTTTCTGCTACCATTAGCAACCCGGAGCATCTCACCGAGTAGGCATTAGCTTCTAGTCCGGATACAGTGCTTATCTATTTTGAATGTTTGAATGTCATGCTTTCTATCTGGGTTCTGGAGAGTTTCATAACTTTCTGGTGAATTTATTACCTTATCTCTGGATATTCAAGGAGCAGAGTCACCCCTCCTGGCAGGTGCTGAGCAAGCCCACACTCTATAAAGGAAAATCAAGGGTTCTCCCAGCTGGATCTGCAGCTGACTAGGAAATTTCCCCCATATCTCAAAAAAGGTTCACCAGAAGTTATCGATTTATGTTTCTTTTTCTTTGTCCTTTACCAAGAAATAAAATTAAAATGGTATAATGACATGCTCTGCCATGGACCTTGAGATTTCTTACGTTGTCCCACTTTGTAGATGTTTAGAAAGATAGTGAAGCCTTATTGGTTGGAAACCCCATATTATTTATCCACGGGGCTAGATTTTTGCCCACCAACAACAACAATTATAGCAAAGACTCCTATTTGCCAGGTGCTGTTCTAAGTGCTTTGCATATGTTAATTTATTTTAAATGGCCAACAACCCTTATGATTTATTATTTTCATTACTACTGTTAGATAGTCTTTTCCATACTGCTATTATTATTTCCATTTTAAATGTGGAAAATGAGGCCCAGAGAGATTTTGTGATCCAACCGAGAGCTTCAGCCCATGGTAAGGAGGCTGGGATTCGATCTTAGGTCATCTGGCTCCAGGGCCTATTCCCTTCAGTAATTTTTAAGGCACATAGAATTTTCTTTATTTAAAGTACTTTAAAATCCTTTCACAGGAAGTGGTTCCATGTTCTGCCTAAATAATACGTAATTTAAATTTTTAAGGTGGCTACGATCCATAAAACAGTACTGGAAACAAACGGACAGTATGATAGAAAAAAATACTGCTTCTTCAAGAAATGCCGGCTGCCGCGCCAGTTCTCACCAAGACTACTTACTGAGGAAGCAGTCGTATAAAGTGAGACTTGGTATGTTTGACATATTCATAGGAATTTTATCTTTTCCTTTCAAGTTATTCCAGCCATTGTGTGTTCATTCATTTGGAAATCCTTGCTCTTCATTTCCAGTGCTCTATGCAGAGAGATACAATGATTTAGAGAAGCACATATGTTCAGTAAACAATCATGACATCTCCTTTGACCATTTTCACCCGTGCGCTGCGCTGACCGTGGACCATGTGAGTGATGGTTCCGCCATGTTTGTTCTGAGCCACATCGGTGGTTTGTATCATATTGCAAAGCTGCCTGGGAGACACTCCTCAGAATTACAGAATCGATGCTCTGTAACAGATATTGAACCTGAGTTTTAAGAGTAACAAGAATAACTTCATAGTTTTCATCTGCTCCTGAGTGGTGTCTACATCTGCAAAGCTTAAGAATGACTGAACATCTTAACCTGAAGTTTTTTGGAGTCGATTTTCTTTATTGTTTGCCCATTTTCCTTCTTCTCAGCACCTGTGTCCCATCTGTCCACCTTCAAGGACACTAACTCTTCTCTTAATGCAGCTACAACTGTGTGTGGACAGTACCTTGTACGTGTGAGAATCTGATTGCTGTGAATTAGTTCAAACAAGGAAAAGACACTTTTCACTAACATAGCAATCACATGACTTTTTGGTAGTGAATCAGTAAGGTGGAGGTCTTAAGGGGACCTCATGTGGCGCACTGGGGTTTGAGTGGGGGAAGATTTCTTAATTTTTCTTGCATATTATTTTTCCTCTTTCCTTCTATTCTCAGGAATGGCCCATTAAAGCTCTGGTTGCCTCTCAAAGTGATAATTAAGCAATAGTTTGCCTTCCTTCCAAGACTGGATAAGTTAAATATACTCTAAATTCTGTTGTCAGATGAGCCTTCTAAATGGACAGTTTTTCAGGCACATGGAGGTTTCTTTATTTAAGATATTTGATGTCACACGGAGTAGTTCCATGTTCTGCCTAAATAGTCATCTGGATCAGAAAGCTAATTTAGATGAATAATTAGTAAGGGTAATTCTGATCCTGCCGAGCCTCTAGTGGCTTTTCTTTGGAACCGGCAAAAGGCACAGCTCCTTAGCTAGGCTTCCCAGGTCTTCTGGGAACTGGCCCCAAGTCCTTTCTGTTCATCCACTTGATGGATTTTACCTGGAAGCCCTCATGATTTGTATATAAACTGGAGTGTTTCAGCACAGATGCAAAGTGCCCGTTGTCCAGACTCTGTTCATCTTTGATGATTCTTCTAATGGGAAACCTCTCCAGAATCCTCTGTGACTTCCTTAGCTGGATGGAATCTTCTCTCCGTAGCACCTTGTCTATATTTTTCTTGTATGATAACAGTTATGGCCAGCTTGCTGCTGAAGTTCTTTACATGCTTGTCTTCTTACTAGACTAAGTCCTTGAAGACAGAGTTTGTGTCCTTGTAGTTTGTAACTAACTGCTATGTATATAAAATTAAAATGTATATTACACAAATATAGCCAACCCAAATGGAGCACTTACTTTGGGTTCTAAGAATTTTATGTATTTTGTCTCTTTTAACCATCACCATTTTAGGATACATGCTGTATTGATATTCCCATTTGGCAAGTGAGGAAGGTGGGGCAGAGAGAACTTGTACCACTGAGGAAGGGGTGGGGCTGGGATGCAGTCTCAGATAGACCGATTCCAGAGCCTGCAGTCGTATCACTGTATTCTGGACAATCTGGTGGACAAATGCCTGGGTGAGGAGTGAGTGAGAATCACTTTATAGCCTTTGTGCTGTGATGCAGTAGCTTCTAAAAGCAACGGAATGAATCCTAGCGATGGTAATTTTCCAACAGGATTTTATTATGGAACTTTCTCTTGTGTGGCAGTGGCTCTATTTACACTCTAAAGAAAACTAAAATGTGGACAAAATTCCTGTGACCTAACTCACATCCCCAAACTAGAATAGTGATGATAACCCAAAAATTGATAACAAGACTCCTTTCTGTGTCTTCCTCTCCTTTTCTCTTCTCTTTCCACGTTATTTCCTGGTGTTTTTAAGTAGCGTAGTATTTTCACAGTCACTTGTTGTGTTTAGATGGTTCAGGGAAGGTTGTCTTTAAACAGCAGTGAGCACGGTGGTTGGGAGAACTTGGCGAGGTGGGCATTTTGGTCCAAGTGCCTTTCCTCTATCTCAGAACCTATTAATGAATCAACTGGGAAGCTGCTCTAGCTTCTGTAACCCCACGTGACCTCTGCAAACGTCACGCTGCTGCCTGAGTTTCCTTCAGGCTCCTGGACATTGGCAATAGGAACGGGGCTTGGACAGTGTTAAATATGTATTTTGGCAGCTGTGTGTATGGGATGTTTCCTAAAGCATCAGTGGTAGAAAAGCAAGTCGGCCTTTCTGAACAAGGAGATGCTTCCTGATCTTGTGTAGTAGACCTCAGATTGATGTGCGAGAGTGGGTGGCGTGGAAAAGTGTAATGAACTGTGGCAACATAAAGAGTAGTGCCGTCCCCCTTGGGTGTCCGCTCTGTAGCTCTGTCACAAGGGTGGTCCCAGAAGGAAGGGGGGCAGGATGAGTGAGGTGAGGGAGTGCCCACCTTCACATGAGGCTCGTTTCTGGCAGAGTGGAGAGTTATCCGGCCCCCCAGGGACAGCTGCAGGCTGCCGGGGGTGGGGTGGGCTGACGGTGTCAGCCCCAGCAAGTGTGGGAGGAGCCGAGCCACTGGTCTTTTTCGCCTGCACGTGGAGCAGTGCTTCCGTCACCTGCGAGGTTGGGGACGATGTGATTTGCCCAAACAACATCGTGAGTAATGCTGTGTGTTCATAAATGAAGGAGGGTGTGAATCTGTGACCTTTTATGTCTCTTCCTTTTACACCTGGGCTGGCTCAGTTTTTTACCAGCTCGTAAATTATCGTATCGTGAAGGCCAGCTGAAGGGAATGCCCAGCTTTTAGCCACCGAGTCCTGAAATTGATTAAAAACATTAAGACCTGTAGGTTGGTCATTCATCAGTCACAGCGAGAGTTGAGGCATCGATCACGTGCCAGGCGGTTTACTAGGCCTGTGCCACGTATTACGTAACTTAATTCTGACAACAAATCCGTGGCAAAGGCAGAATTGCCCTCCATGGTAGAAATAAGGACACGCAGGCTTTTTAAAAGCTTAAAAGCCCTAAGAAATCATAAGCATTCTCGTGACCAAAACAAAAGATTTGTGTCTTAAAAATTATGATAGTTCTTGGATTTATTTTATTTAGGCAAAATAATTTGCCACTTTTAAGTAGTAATAATAAGAGAAGAAAATGCTAACATTCCAAAATAACATATTCACGTACTATTTGGCAAAATGTAGTTTTTTCTGTTCAGTCAGTTCAGTGCTCAGACTCAGATGCTGAACAGTGATTCCAGGAAATCACCTGCATCCTATAGATTTTTACAAGCCTCCTTCAAAGCCTGGTTGATTATTTTAATTGAAATACGTTTGACATAAAACCTTGTATAAGTTTAAGGGGTGCAGCATGTTGATTTGATACATTTATTTTGCAGTGTGTCTGCCACCTGTGTCAAGTCTGAGTCCTCATCCCTTTTTATTTCTTTAACATCTTTTACTTTTTATTATTTTTTAAAATTTATTTATTTATTTTTGGCTGCGTCAAGTCTTCGTTGCTGCGCGCAGGCTTTCTCTAGTTGTGGCAAGCGTGGGCTACTGTTCGTTGTGGTGCGCGGGCTCTTCATTGCAGTGGCTTCTCTTGTCGCGGAACACGGGCTCTAGGCGTGCGGGCTCAGTAATTGTGGTGCACAGGCTCAGTAGTTGTGGCTCGTGGGCTCTAGGGCGCAAGCTCAGTAGTTGTGGCGCATGGGCTTAATTGCTCCACGGTATGTGTCACCTTCTCGGACCAGGGATAGAACCCATGGCCCCTGCATTGTCAGGCGTATTCTTAACCACTGAGCCACCAGGGAAGCCCCGCATCCCTTTTTTGTGGTGGGACAATTAAGATCTAGTCTCTCAGCATGTTTGGTGTTCATAATACAGCTTTGTTTTCTGTAATCACTGGGCATTAGCTCTTCAAGACTTATTTATCTACTAGTTTAAAAAGTTTTGAAAAACCCGTGCTGACGCATTTATCTTGTTTGCTTTTAGCACAGTCTGTGAGGCGGCAGGACAGATATTTTGATCCTATATTGTAGATGAGGAGCTGGCATTTAGAGGTGGAATTAGAACTAGACCTTCTGATGCAAACTTGATTGCACTTCCCATCCTACTAAACAATTGTTTTCAGCTGTATTGTTTGGGGTGGCTTTTTTAGCCCAGAACTTCCAAACCTGAGTTTCATAACTTAGTAGCTGTTTACGAAAACAAGTTTCTTGTTGTCAAATAATTTTGGAGAAATCTGGGTCCTGTAGCCCCTTCCTGGAGAGTTAACATTTCCGGTGAGAGCCCTTGAGGAGGCCTATTCCTAGAATGAAAGCCCCTGTCCTCAACCTTTCTTTTGAAGAAAACCTGCCGGCGTCTCAGGGATCATAGTTTCACAGGCAGTGGATTCGTAGCAACAGTGGTTGAATCCAGTAGCATTTACTGCAGTAAAGGGTTTTGGAGAACAGGAATTTTTAATTTATATTTTAAAATATTTGCGGAAAAATAATGACGTGGATATCCAGAAGGCTTAGCAGAACCAAGTCAGTAACCTGGGGAGAAGTTTCCTTGAGTGTCGTGAAGGTGACCTTCAAGTTGTCATAGGACTTGAGAAAATCAGATTTGCCCCTTTTAGCCTGGCTTGGTGCTCAAAAGCCAGGAATCATATTCATAATTAAATCAGTTCCACTTCCAGTTACAGGGTGGAGGCTGTGCGTTCTTGTCTAAACTGAGTCCACAGATCTTTGAGCCTCCCAGCCCTCATAAGAGAATTGGCTCAGCTGAAACCTCTTAGGAAATATAAAAACCTTTCGGTGGGCTTTTGAGTTTTTTTCTCTCTTGGTAAATCAGGGACACTCTCGGTTAGTATTTTGTTTGCGCTGAGCCATTACTGAGCATGTTAGATCAGTGCTGTTTTCAGTGTCTTTGGGTTCATGATGATGCTGAGGCAGAGGATGGAACGTCAGATGGAATAGAAGGAATATTAAATTTTTCAATTTTATTTTAAACATAGATTGAAAAGTTTGGATTCCCTTCTGATCTTACCCTTTCGCCTCGAGAAATGATCCAGCTTTATGATACCATGTTTGAATTCTGGGAAGGTTGGCCCAGGGCTCAGGTAAATAGTAATTCTGCAATTATTTTGAATTGATTGAAGTGGATGGTACCTGCTGCTCACAAAGACAAGCTCTCACTCTTTCTAATCACTTGCATCTGATCTTTGAAAGTTACCTGTGGACTCTTTGCAAAATAAGGTCGCCCCTTCTCTAGACAGCCTTCCTCCTGACGGTCTGTGTTTTCCTGTAACTGGGCGGAATGCCCCTGAACTCCTGAGCACGCTTCCTCTTTCACTTTCTGTGATAGGACAATCCTTTCATCTCCCCTCCTATGTGCTGGGTCCTGGGTTTCTGTTCCTGCCTTTCTCTCTTCTCGCGCCCCTCCCTTCTCTCTGTCCATCTTTGTTCATCTCCTGTTTGGTTTTGCTGCACATTCTGCCTTAAGAGTTCACCATCCTATTAGGTTTACACACCAGAAATGTTGGGGAGATAGAAGTTCATCCTCTACTCTCAAGACGCTTGTAATTCTGTTAGTGAGACATATTGCTGAGAAACACTTTTGGATTTTCTTGCATGATTTTATTGAATTTTGTGGTATTCCTTTTCAAGGAGTTGTGTCCGGAGGAATTCGTTCATTTTAAGAATAAAATAGTCATTCGAAAGGTGGATGCTAGAAAGTATGAAGAGAGCTTAAAGGCAGAGCTGACGGGCTGGGTGAAGAGCGGTCACGTCCAGGAGGTAATTATCACACATGTTTTGGGTGAAGCACCTCTGTGTTCTTGTCCCCTTGAGTTGTGCTGTGCAGTCATTACTATTTTCTGGCTTTCTTTAATCTTCAGCTTCCATTGTAGGATTTTCAGTTGAGCACGAAGTCCAGTGATTCTGAGATAGACTAGAGAGAGAGAAAGGACCTATGTCCTTGTCTTGTCCTCTGTCCCTGCCCTGGCGTGTGCTCCACGTTCTGACGGATGAGGACAGAGGGACCCTTTCCTGGTCATGATGCTCAGGAATCACAGTGACAGCAGCTGAGGAGAGCTTTTCATCCCTTTATCTCTTTTTCATCTGGAAAGTTTTTTTTTCTTTTATGATTTTTATTTTAATTTGTAGGAACTATTTTTGTATTACAACCTTAGTCCGGGGTCGTATGAGTTACGAATATTTGTTTTAAGTAAGTTGCTGGTCTTTTTATTTTGGAGTTTGCTCTGTTGTCACATATTAAGGTTTCTGATTTTGGGGGTGTGACATATATTAGAGTTTTCTCAGGTGAGTTTTTCCCATTCTATTTTAACTAACCTCCTGCTCCTATATAATTATATTTTATTCCACTTATTTTGTAAAAAAAACCTTTAAAATGTATTTGTAAGTGATACGTGATATAGAGAGAAACTTATATATGTATATATATGTTACATGATGTAGAGAGAAACTGATTTACCCCACCTCCTGCCATGTAGTGGAACCAGCATCATTTACCAAATAATCCTCTTCCTGACTGATTTGTGTTGCCTTAAAAAATTGCATGTTAAATTGCATGCGCGCATGTGCGTGGGTATTACTGTTTATCTTTTTGTTCTCTCGTATATGATATATAAATGTTGATTTATATATTTCTTTGATGGTTCTTTTGCAATGTTTTATTTTATACTTTCATTATTTTTGTTTTTGTTACATAGTCTATTAAAGAACCACAGAAATATAGATTAGATAACTATGAAAATGTTTTAGCCAGAGGCAGGAATTCATGTCTTCATTACGCAGAACTTACAATAATTTTCTTTTCACTGCTACAGGCCAGAATGGTCCTGAGGAATCTTCGTCCTCCTTCGGTGGTTAGTTCAGAAAACATGGCACGTATGTTTCCACGTCTTGTTGAAAAGCTAAGACAAATGGAGAAGTTACCTGCACTGTTTTTTTTGTAAGTCATTTAATTTGTTTTTGGTTGTAATTTGTATTAGATGCATTCTTTTAAGTAGAGGGAAGTTACACAAACTTGACTCTTGTAAAATAGTGTTCAATACGATTTTTGGTGCCCTTTTGTTATTAGAGTGCCGATTTAAAACTACACCTTTCTAGTTTAGTTCTTACAAAAATAATTTTACTTGTGCTGTTACATATCACCTTCTTTATTTGGTTTTCCTTCTCCATTTCTTCTTCTCCTTTTACTCTAAACTAGTGTATTTTTAATTAGGTCTTGTTAATTTTCAGTCAATACCTAGGTTTTTTACAAAAGAGATCGAATGTTTATGCACACAATTACCCCACATAAAATTAAAGTAGCCTTGCAATATGCTAGTTTAAATCCCAAGGTGCCAGGAAGTCTGGACCATATGTCCCTAGGGATTTCCATTTCAAAAGGTATAAAGCCCAGACTCTGGAGACATTTCTGGATTGTAGAGGCCAGTAACCCCTGGGTTTACCTGGTCCCTAGAAAGAAATAATCACAATCCAAGAAGTTAGGATGAAAACCCCCAATTCTCTCCATCCTGCCTAAAAGAGCAAAATTTTACTGTACGATCTCACTTGTATGTGGAATCTGAAAAAGCCTTACTCATAGAAACAGAGTAGATTAGTGGTTTCCAGGGACATGGGGGCGACAGAAAGGGAGGAGACGCTGGTCAAAGGTACAGACTTCCAGTTATGTAATGAATAAGTCCTGAGGATCTAATTCCATCATGGTGACTACAGGTAACAATACTGTATTGCATACTTGAAAGTGGCTAAGAGTAGATTTGAAATGTTCTCACTACAAAAGGAAAGAAAGGTAACATTGTGAGGTGGTGGTTTTGTGAACTAACCTTATTACAGTCATCGTTTTGCTATGTTTACCTTTATCAACTTGTCATGTTTTGTATAACTTAAACGTATGCAGCGTTATATGTCAATTATGTCTCAATAAAACTGAAAACAAAAACACACAGAGAAAAGCAAAGGAGGCACTAAAATTCACAAAAGATTTGGCCGTCAAGAAATCTGACTTGTTTCACTAACCGTAATATTCTCTAGTGAAATAAGTCAGACAGAGAAAGGCGAATACTGTATGCTATCACTTATATGTGGAATCTAAAAAATAATACAAATGAATGTGTAAGTAAAACAGAAACGGTCGGGCTTCCCTGGTGGCGCAGTGGTTGAGAGTCCGCCTGCCGAGGCAGGGGACACGGATTCGTGCCCCGGTCCGGGAAGATCCCACATGCCGCAGAGCGGCTGGGCCCGTGAGCCATGGCGGCTGAGCCTGCGCGTCCGGAGCCTGTGCTCCGCAACGGGAGAGGCCACAACGGTGAGAGGCCCACGTACCGCAAAAAAAAAAACAAAAAAAAAAACAGAAACGGTCACACAGACATAGAAAACAAACTTACGGTTACCAAAGGGAAGAGGAAAAGTGGGGAGGGACAAATGAGGGGTTTGGGATTAACAGATGCAAACTACTATATATTAGATAGGCAACAAGGACCTACTGTATAGCACAGGGAATGGTAGCCCTGATCTTGTAATAACCTAAATGGAATAGAATTTTCAAAAATACTGAGTTACCATGTTGTACAACTGAAACTAACATGATATTGTATATCAACTGTACTTCGGAAAAAAAAAATATCTAACACTAAGGGTCTTTGATGCTGTTACAAGACAGACCTAAAGACCAGTGGAATTAGACACAAAAACAACTACAATAACAATAAAAATAAATAAAAAGGAGTAAAACAATTTTTTCTCACCTCTTAAGAGAGGAAGAAGGAACATCTGTCTTCTGTAAATAGAGAAAATCCATTGTTATCTGTTCCTTGCCTGTGGCGTGCCTGACCCCTCTTCCAGGAGAAATCTCTGGGGGCTCTGCTTGCCATTGCCCCAGGGGGGGACTTCCTGTTTCCTGTAAGGCGGTTAATGATGGGTCTGCCGACCCAGAACACCTCGTGTGCCTGTTCAGGATGAAGCTCATAAAAGTGGAGATTAAAAACTCAACAGCTGTGTGTCAGGATGACAGCAGTGGATGGCTATATGACTGAATTGTATTTATCACATTAATTTCAAGGCAAGCGTTCTTTTCCTTTGTTTCCAGATTTAATTTAGGGGCTGTAGAGAGAAGCGCTGGAAGTGTGAAAAGGTTCCTAGAGATAAAGCAACAGAGCAGAAGGCCCCTCAAGGCTGATAAGGAGGACTATGACATGGAGAGCAAACTTCGAAAAGTTAGAAAATCCCTTGAGACACAGAAGACAATGTGAGTATGTGACTCAACGCACTGGTGGTTGGAAGGCTGAAATACGTCACAAGTCCCAACAGGAGTGTACACTGGGCTATGCAGACATCCTAGCTGTCCCTTATTTGCAGGCCGGTTCTGTGCTTCGGAGAACTGTGTGTGCTCCTGGCTCCTGCCTTGTTCTCGGTGTCTAATTCTGATGACTCTGCGTCTGAGATGCGTCTTTCCTTCCTCCCACCCTCCCATCCTCAGTGGCAGCCTGGTCTGGACGGGCCCGCATCTTCCTCGGGCGATCACAGAGGTCTTCTTCTTGGACTTGGGCGCTCCGAGGCTCACCACCCTGCGGTGTAGCTGACACCACTCTTGCTGACATTCTCATTGATTAACTTACCCACACTCACTGTTCCTTCTCCTGGGCCATTGTTGGTGGACCACCATCTTTGGAGTTTTGCCCTCACTTTTTCAGATCACGTCCTACTACTCTCATCCTTCAATACTCAATATTTACTCTTCTCCCTGTGTGCCACGTCCTCCTGCACTTTCCCGTGACATGGCCCTTCTGCCTTGAGGTCCCTCCTTCCCTCTCACCCCCAGAGCTTCTGCTCATGAGTTCGCTGTGCCTCTCTGAAGCTTGCCCTCATGCCCCACTTAGATTTAGTGCCCTTTCTCCCGGGCTCTTGCTACGCTGCAGTATTTAGTAGGTCGATTACGATGTGTTGCTGTCTTATTCCTAAATCGTTAAGCTCTCTCACAGCAGGGACCGTGCATTTTCCTCTTTTTATTAATATGTCCAGTTGTTATCGAATGACTCGGGTCCTGATTCTCGCTGGACCCGATTACATACTCACAGATGTCGGCAGAAAGGAGAGGTTCCTTTAATCAGGATGCGGCAATGTGGGGAGATGGTGGACTCAGTGTTCCCCCAAAACCACCTCTGAGATTCTGTTCGGCCATGGAAGTTTTAAAGGGAAGGAGGAGAGTAATCTCAGTTAATCACTGAGATGGGGGGTCAGGGTCATCGCCGTCCCCCACTATGTGCAGGCTCGTGGAATCCTCGTCATCTTCCTCTAGGTGTTCTCTCAATCACGCCGTTTGTTGGGGAGATTACTGAAGGGGAAGCTTGGGAAGAGATCTGGTCACCTGTTAATTACTGACTCTTCTCTCCTCCTTCTTTGATCTGCAGAAAGAACCGATACGTTAGGCAAAGTATTGCGTGATCTAAAGACTTGAAAGGTGTACTTGGGCCGGAGATGAGTAGAGCATGGGGTGCCTGGTGAAAAGTCACGATACAGCTCTGCTAAAGTGACAAGGAAAGGGGCTTCCTGCTGAGGGCGGTTTCCTGTAAAGAGCTGCTTACAAAGTCTTAACACATTGCTTGGCAGGTCACAGCTGGTCCATAAATATTTTGCAATGACTGGTAGTTATTTCCCTGAAAGTTGAAACAGCTTTTAGAGCTTCTCGGGCTCAGATTTTTCATATTCCGGAGCAGGTCAGAATTTCCTGCTGACACTTCTGTGTCTCTTCCTTCTGCCTGTTATGCTGTTTCCCTGGAAGTGATGGTAGGTGTCAGCCTTTTCAATCACTAGACAGCTTAGACACTTAGCTTTTCTTCAGGACGCTGGCAGTCACGATGTCACGTTGCATTAGTGACCAACAAGCCAAGCTTTAAAAATAAGACGAATGTTTTCGTGAACTAAGAATGCTGCTGTCATGTCGGTAAACAAAGGATGTTGCAGCCAGCAAGCCGCCGCTTTCCCCGGCAGCGCACCCTGAGGGGACTCAGGATGGGAAAGCACAGGACACTGGCCCCAGAGAGCTGAGGTGCACATCAAAGGAACGATTCCAGTGAGTCCAGACTTTGCATCTTCCCATACACAGAAAAGCGCTAAATTCCTTAAACTGGAGGTGTCTGGTTTTCTTTAATTAGCAGTGATCCTTTGATGTTCGGACCACCTGGTCTTTGTTGCAGAAACTCTTGTGCGTCCTGGCTCCTCCCATCACCTCCTCGGAGCAGTCTCTCAGAGTTATCTGAGCTGCTGTCTCCTGGGCTTGAAGTCCTAAGAATGTCCACCGAATAGAACGTAATTCTCAACTTCTAGGTTGTGCATTTTCTTTCCGTCAGCATTTTCCTACCTCGTTCAGCACCATGATTACACTGAGGGTGTTGGGACCCTTGCCCTGGGCTCTGTGCTTCACAGAACCCCAAGCCGGCCTCCCCGTCTGCAGCCATTCCCTTAAAATGAGGAGTTGGTGCAGCTCAGGAGACATCCCTCTGGAGCTCCCTCTCACCCTTGAGATTCCAGGTGGTTACGGAGCTTTATTTGTCGGGGTAGGAGGAGGTTGTATTTTATCTGAAAGTTTGGTACCTCAATTTAAAACTTAGAAATCCTTAGACAACAGTATGGGGGCCTCCGTTAGCCCTCTGCCTGTGCTGGTCCCGGCATTGCCCCTGGAGGTGAAGGGAATGTCCCAGGAAGTGAGTTGGTGGCGCGTCTACTGCTTGGTCTGTATTTCTCACCCCTGAAATGGAGTTAGACGGGACACTGGTTAGCACATATTCTCATATTAGGAGCTGTCTTATGTGCAAAGGCGAGAGTGTCGACTGAAAAAAAAAAGCACAATCTAAAAGTTGAGAATTAGGTTTTATTTGCTGGACGTTCTAAGGACTTAAGCCCGGGACGCAGCCTCTCAGACAGCTCTGAGGGGCTGCTCCCAAGAGGTAAGCGGGGAGCCAGGATGTAGAGGAGTTTTTGCAACAAAGGCCAGGTAGTCGGAACATCAAAAGATGACTGTTAATTAAAGAAAACCAGACATCTCAAGTTAAGGAGTTTAGCACTTTTCAGTGAATGGGGAGATGCAAGAGTCTGGGCTCACTGAAATCATTCCTTTGATCTGCACCTCAGCGCTGGGGCCAGTGTCCTGTGCTTTCCCATCCTGAGTCCCCTCGGGGTGCACCACGGAGGCGGGCTGCAGAGGCTGCGGACTTGGCGGTGGGCAGCCCGTGGGTCTCCGTCCTGAGTCCCCTCAGGGCTCACCGTCGGGGTGACTGTAGTGGCTTGATGGCTGCAGCATCCTTTGTTCACTGATATGGCAGCAGCTTTACTCATTCACCAAAGACAAACCAAGAAAGGACGAGAGATGTGGGTGTCTGTGAAAGGCGGTTCCCATGGAGTGATGGATAATGCGCTTTGGTGACTGAGTCCAAGCCAGTGTTTGTGGGGCAGTGTCTTAGGCCAGATTCCCCGCAGAGATCTGAGATGGGACCTCATGGAAGTGATCTGTTGAAGGGGTGTGCTTGAGCGGGACCTGCAAGAAAGCGACGAAGCAACAGAGGGAAAGTGAGGAAGAGGCGTAAGGGTGTGGTGTTGCTGGAATATTGCTGACCCCGGCCAACCGGGAGGCCTGGGTGCACTGCAGGGTTGTGCCAGCGTGGGTCGAGGGGGCTGTTTTGTGTACCTCTTATCAGTCAGGTACTGGCTGGGGGCCACATTCCCAGTCCCAGGAGGTGTTGTAACCTTACAGGCATTTCTTGGGAGCTCTTGTCAGCAGAGGGCAATTCTGCAGGGGATGGTGTCGCCAAGAACCCTTGGCAACCAGACTCAGAGCTGCTGTAGCAGGAGGAGAGAAGAAGGAGAGAAGGAGCTGGCCTGCACTCGACCATGTGGAGCTGGGGGCACCTACCTTCCTCCAAGCCTGTGAAAGAGAAAATGCTCATCACTTTAGCACGGGACAGGGGGGTCATATTGGGAGAACTGGATTTGGCAAGAAGGATGCTTAGAGTAGGAGGAAGGGAGGGGAATATTCAGACACAATAGGGGACTTTTCTGATGAGGGGCCACCAGTTCCAGATGCTTCCGAGGGAGAAGGTTGGTTCAGGGTGGTCTGGGGGTATGTAGTAGTGCATGTCTGGGTGATGAGGGGATCAAAGATGTCCCGGGCTTCCTATGGCGGCCAAACGTGGCCGTTCATTACTTAAAATTTGTTTTTATAAACAGAGATAAAAGAAGCCAGAAGAATCCCAGAAAAATGGATCAAAGCCTAATCCTTGCAGCTGAACGTGCTAATCTCCTCAAGGTTTTTGAGAAGAACTTGGAGATCCCTCAGGACTGCACATATGCTGATCAGAAGGCCATAGATGCTGAGGTGAGCCCTTAGGATGGAGCAATGCTCCTGGAAATCATTTCACACTCCCACTACTACTGTGCAGCTCCAGACGCTGCTGGGTGTGATACCTCAGTGCCGTCGCTTCCAGAATAGAAATCCTTGTGCGTGGCCTCTGTCTGTAAGCATGTTTGAAGAAGACAGGATTAGGTTTGTAGAAGATTTCTTGCTTGTTAATAGTTAACCCCTGGGGGTGGCTGCCCTTCCGTTATTTCTTCTTGCAATACTGTTTTTCACAGCCTGACTTCTACGCTCCGGTCTCACACGCCTCAACCGAATATTTCGGTACATGTGGTCCAATACACTTGAAATAATATATACACAGTTTCTCTAAAGCTCAGGATTTCTGTGTTATAGTCAAAACATGCCACCAAAAAGACATTGAAATATTTAAATGTGGTATGCCGTTTCTTCAAAATGTTTTATGGTGCAAATAATGCATGCGTTTGGTAGATGAATTTGAAAATACAAATTAGTAACAATAAAAGCCATGCCAACCGTCGGGAGTAATCACTGCCCTTCTGGATGAACCTTTCATGTCTTTGTGACCACACACACACGCATGCACACGCATACACGCACACATACATGCACACACATACATACATACACACATAGGTGCATACAGGCATATGCCTGTGTGTGTATATGTGCATTCTATTGTATACATTCTTTTGTAAATTTCACGGTTTCCTCCTTTTCGAGAACCATCATCATTTCATGGGTCCTTGATATCCCGTTGTGTAGTTGACTCTACATGGAGGGTATTTTGCTTTTGGATTTAGGGTTTGGGGTTTTTTCTTTTCTTCTCTCTTTCATAAGCAGTGTTTATTTTAACACATAAAACTCTGCATGCAAGTGGATTTCCTCCTTAGGGCAGGGATATTTTTAAGGCTATCTGTGACCAATTTACAGTGAGAAGGAAGCCTTCCCAGACCATGTAAGGTAAGGAACCTGCTCTGCTTGGAGAAATCCCTCTCCCCAGGGAGAACTCCTGGGGCTGATCTGACCTCCCTCAGGCTGGAGCGGCTACACTCACACCTCCTCTGGGGATTGTCTACTGCTTGGTCAGTGCTTCTCACCCCTGAAATGGGGTGAAACAGCACGAGACATTCTGCTCCAAGACTTTGGAACATGTCTGATAGTTGCTGTTGTTCCCATAAAATGTTTTTTATATGTAGAGTTAATTTCAAATAATTGGCCTCATTTAGCTAAATTATTATATAGTGTGCCTGTTATTTTGATTTCACTATTTTAAATTCTGATTTAAATTAAAATTAGGTAAGAGACGATCAAAATCCCTAAAACTCTTCTTTCAGACTTTGCAGAGGGTGTTTGGCCGAGTGAAATTCTCAAGGAAAGGCGCTGAACTGAAGGCTTTGGCAGCAAGAGGGATTGGATATCATCACAGCTCTTTGAGCGCCAAAGAAAAGCAGTTAGTTGAGATTCTTTTTAGGAAAGGATTTATTAGGGTAAGTAAAGTTCTTCATTTTATAACTTGAAACTCTGTCTATATGAAGCTGAGCACCATAACGAATGGAAAATAACGATTTTTTCCAATCTAATTATGTCTTTTTTTTTTTTAACGTCCCACGATACCACTGCATTTTCCATCTCATTTAGTTGAGGGAGGGGGTTTGAAATCTCTCATTCAGTTTATCTCTTTTTCGTGAGATTCAAGTATCCCTTAAACAAGTACTGTTCCAACTATTTCCAACTATGTTTGAAATACACCTGTGGCGATCTAGGAATAAACGCCCACTTTTCATTTATAATGTTCATGGCATTTTGTCAGCTGTTCATGTGATTTTGGCTGTAGATGTCTTTTCATGGGTGTGGAGGACATTCAGGGTAGCATTTCGATCAGATCTTTTCCCGGTGTACTAGGAGAAATAAGAACAAGGATGTACTGCTTCCCCGGGGCCAGCTGCACAGCTCGGCAGACTTTAGCGGTACCATCCTCATACTCTGTCCTGTCCCTGGTGGCGGACAGGAGGAAGGTTCCCTGAATCACTTGACACCCAGCCCTTGTTATGTATGTGGTGTGTCCCATAAAGATGTGAGGGGATCCTCTGGATACATTCACAAAGAGGGTTTATATGATTTCCTAGTTAATTTAGACTTTGAGTAATATTTTAAAATAGACCCTGACTTTTTCTAATTTGCCACATTAATTTTTTGAATTATGTACATTATATTTGTGTGTGGTGGGGAGGGGAGAGATAGATTCTGTTACTCTAGGGAGTATCGTTTAATCTTAATAAATAAATCTTGAAGAAAATCTGACATCCTAATTTAAGGGTAATTCTGTAATCTGGAAGAAAACCCAAAATGTATCATTAACAACGTTGTTTAGCTTTTTTCTTAACTAATAACAAGTTATTTATTTATTTTAAAAGTCAATAACCAGAAACAAAATTTTTTACATGATTATGAATTGAGGTAAGGAGGCACAACTATTTTGATCAGCATATCCTGGGTCTAAAATAGTATCTTAAATAGTAGTTGCTCAATTATCAGTAGCTTAGTAAATGGTTAACTAGATACCGCTAGGCAGAGTACTGTGGAAACAGAGATAGCTTTGTTATTGAGAACACATTTTTCAAAAGGTATTTATTCTAGTTATAGTATAAATTTAATGTTCTTTCTTTTCCCATTCATGTTCTTATTGAAGAACTTTATAAAAATAGTTAATAAATGGTGTGTTTCATTTTGACAGAGTATCGATATCAGGTTCAGAATAATTAAAGAAAATTATTCCATATACTTCACCATTAACCTCAACTATGACTTTATGATAATCAATATAAATAGAAATAACAATTAGAAATACCCAGCATTATATGAAAAAAAATGAGTAAAAATAGATTATTTAAGAAACCGTAAAATTTTCCCTACTCCTTTTCTGGTCAGTTATTATGGCAATTCAGGGAAAAAGGTGAAATTTAATTTGCTCTATTACTTAGATAATTTATTTCCATAGAAATAATCTTCACAGATAAGTTATAGTGGGTGAGGCTGGCCACTGCCCATAAGTGGGTCTATAACAGTATTATTCCCTGTTGTGGGAAGTTCCCTTTCTAGTCATTTATTACAGAGTATTTCCTGAGCACCTGTCATGTGCCTGGTACTCTTTTTGGGGGGTGGGGTACACGATAGTGAAAGGGGCTTGGAGTCTGAGGCAGGACAGTAAACACACAGATGATACACTTGAGGTGGTCATTAATGCCATGAGTAGGCATAATGAGGACGGGGCCATCATTTTGGATGTGGTGGTCCAGAAATTTCTGTTTGACATTTGAGTGGAGGACTGAACAAACCAGATAACTGGATACGTGGGAGAAGAATATTCTGGGCAGAGCAGAGTGAGGGGCAAGGCCCTGAGCAGTGAAATATGACATAGCAAGAACGCCAGCGTTCTAGGTCCTGTAGTTCAAGGCTTTCAGTCACTCCGTGGCATTCCACTGGAATGCTATTTTATGAAGTAACTGTTTATTCTCCTTCTAGGTGGTGACCGCTACGGGGACACTTGCTTTAGGAATCAACATGCCTTGTAAATCTGTGGTTTTTGCTCAAAACTCAGTCTATCTGGATGCTTTAAACTACAGACAGGTATTGTGATATGCAGAAACTCCCTATTGCATTGCTAAAATAGGCAATAAAAGAGTAAGAAAGGCGAGGCTTTGGTTTGCAAACGTGCTGCAATTCACAGGGACTTTCCTGCAAACCTGACAGTCACATTTAGCTGTGGTATAGGGCCGGTCACGGGCTTGGTGTTACGTGACCTTGGGTGAGATCTCTAACCTGCCTGGTCCTTCTTTGCTATCTCCAGAATAGGGATGATAAGAACGGTCCCATGGCATTTGCAAGAATTCAATGAAGTGATTTGTAGGGAAGACACACAGGTGCAAGGTGCTTGAGGACTCCCTCCTCGTCCAGCCCCTTTGCCCCTGAGTTTACGCCCTGGGGTTCTCTTTCATGCTTCTCTTGTCTTTGCCCCTGCTGTGCACTGTACTACCAAGCCGACTTTGTTATTCTCCTCCAGTGGTTTTGATTTTGGCCTTGCAATTTCCATTTCCACCGTCTTTCATCATACATTTTGAGCTTGTAGTCATTAATCAGTTTTCCTAATTTTCAGGTCTCCTGACTCCACTGTGTCCTGAACGCAGACGGTTTACCTGCTCAGGATCACTTGGTGAATATTTCTGCTACATCTGTCAGCCAACATTACAGGTTTTATCCAAGTGCCCCCCACCCCACTTCCTCACAGAACACTTCCTTTCTATCCCCTGATGGGCCTTGTTCCTACCCAATACAACATCCTTAGTTTTTCCTCCATTTTACCAACCTCTGTCCTTCGGAGTTCTCCTTCTGCTGCTGTTCTGGGCATGAACCCTCCCCCCATATCATCTTTGGGAATCTCTCATTTAGGGGTCTGGGGCCGGCGTCATGGATGGTGAACTTGGCAGTGGAAATGCCAAGGTTGGAGTCCTGGGTCTTTCACTTCTTGGCGTTTGCCTACAGTGACTTTCTTATTTCCCAAGCCCCAGTCACTCTACTGTAAAATGCAGACAATGATTACACTCTCCTCATAGGGTAGTGGTGGTAGGGCCTTTATAAAAAAGGTGTAAAGGACTTAGCACATTCTGAGCACTTACCGAAGGAGAACTAATATAACTTCTGTAAAGAGTTTGTTCTTAACTTCCTTTGTACAAGTAGTTTCTGGATTTTATCCCACTCTTGCGTCTCAGTTTGTGCACAGTTTTTATGGTGATTTGTCACTCAGCACACGTGTGTAGGGGAGAGAGAGAAAAGGGACAAAGGAGGGGGGTGGGAAGGAAGAGAGGAAGACTCGTAAGTTCAGCCGTAAGTGAACTGGAAGCCAGGGTCTCGTCTTTTTTTCTTCTTGCTGTATATCATTATACAAATATCTAGCACAGTTTGGGGACTGAAATAAGCACATCAGGATGACGAATGTCTCATTTTCACCTCTGTCTCAGCCACGGTGAATTTCCTGCCTGGCACCCAGTTGGATTTTAGTCTCAGTTCTGTAACGGTTGGACATCTCCACAGTGTACTTGCTCTAATGCAGTATAAAAGGCTCAGTTCTTATACTGTGATGGAGAAACTGTTCAGGAAAGATTTACTTTGTGCTTCTATTCTGTTTGCAGATGTCTGGACGGGCCGGACGACGAGGTCAAGACCTGGGGGGAGATGTGTATTTCTTTGGTATTCCACTCTCTAAAATCGAAAAGCTCATCAAATCCAACGTCCCTGAACTGAGAGGGCAGTTCCCTCTCAGCATCTCCCTGATCCTGAGACTCATGCTTCTGGCTTCCAAGGCAGATGACCCCGAGGACGCTAAGGCAAAGGTACTGTGGGATGGTTTCTGGGGCTGAGTCTCCATTACTGGCCGGGCTCGTTTTTACATCTGTAGTGATAGCTTCTTGGAGTCACCAGTCTTTAATGCTTGCTAGTGTCTTGGCTGGTAGAGAACTGGGGGTGGGTGGGGAGAGTAATAATTAGTTTTGTTGTCTCTGTCAATCATAGAATTTATGGCCAATGGGCATTTGGAGTTGCCCCCAGATTACTATTTTCACGTATGATAAACATTGCCCCATAGGAGTGAAGGGTGCTAGCTATGGATTTTAAAAGATCTGGGTTACAAAAAGATTTGTGTTTATGATTTTGTAATAAAAGAGTTTATTTTTCGTAAAAAAAGTAACCCAAGTTCATCAAAGAATATTTGGACAATGCAGAAAGTTGAAGGAAGAAAAAAAGTACCTACACCTAGTTTGACTCTCCAAAAACAGTCACATTCTCATTTTGCTATTTTTTTCAGTCATATTTCTAAGTGTAGGTGTGTACTTGGTTCCTTGCAAAGATATATTTATGTTTAGTTGGACTTAAGACTGTGGTTATAAACTTACCGTGAAGTTTTCTGCTGAGATAAATATTTTGAGTCTAATCCCACAATGAGAAATTTAAAATTCGTAATTAAATATTTGGTTTCATCCTTATGAAGATGCATTGTGAAAGGGACCCACTCCTCCCTGGGTTTGTATACTGATTGGCCTGCCCTCTAAATTGGATCCCGTTTGCCACGGTGAGGATTCTTCCAGGACTTTTGTGATGAGCAGCCTCTTGTCATGTTGTTGACGCTCCTACAGACCAGGTGCCTATCATTTTAGACCAAAACTTCCCCATGTTTGAGTTCTTATCTTTTACCTCTATACAGGAGAGAAACATACGTCTTCTTGCAAACTTTTTAATTTTTTTCAAAAAGGTTTTCTGAGTCGCTGGTCTTCTTTGCCTTGGCCTGTGTGAGGAGCTCTCTCGGTAACCTTCACACATAAAAGACTCAAGTGTGGGCATAAATTTCTTGGAATATTCTTTTTACTTATCACATCAAGCTAGAATCACTTCACTGCCCTCTGGCATTTACTGTCATAGAGGAACAGACTCTTGAAATCTCCTCTAGAGGAACTGTGCTAATTCCTGTTTCCTTATAGTTTATTTCTTTCTGCCTATGTAATTATATGAGTATTTTAAAAAGTCTGTATATTTAAATTCTTTTCCCCAGGATTTTCTATCTTGTGTGTCTTTCCTTTTATGTTTTATTGATGTTTTAGTTATTACATGATGAAAACTTTCAGTCTTCATGCTCAGAAGTTTTTATCGCGGTAAAATACATGTAACATTAAATTTGCCATCTTAACTGGTTTTAAGTGTACAATTCAGTAGTGTTAAGAACCTTTGCATTGTGCAGGGCTCAGATCATTCTGGAACTAAGAAAAGATTTCTTAAGTTAGATCTTTGATATTTGCTTCCGTTTTGATTTGTTCAGTTTCCAGAAAAAGTTATAACTTTTAAAATCAAAAGTCGTTTTCCTGTTCTCCGCTGTTGTTTTTCTTCATTATGAGAGAACACTTGAGTTTATCTCCTGCGTCTCTGATGCACTCTCTCAAGTTTCAGATCTTCTCCTTAGGGACACCGTGTGGATGTTCATTCTGCTGCTGGACTTGTTTACCCGAGATTGTGCACTGCTTCCGATGTCACCCTTTCATATCATAATAATGTATTATTTTTTAAATGTCAATTTATATTGTCCATTTACCTTATGCGGTTGTGCCTTGTTTCATAAGAGGTCGTATCTTTTGGCCTCCATTGAGGATGCCAAAGAATTTTTCCAAAATACGTTTTTCTAAAAAAACCCATTTTCATAGGTCAGATTACTTTTGAGTAGAAGCCAGTGTTCTTGTGATGGTCTGTAAGTTTCTACAGAGCCTGGTCCCATGATCCCTTGTTGGACTCACCACGTCCTGCTCTCCTACACGAGCCCACTACCTGCTTCTCCGACAGTAGGCACGTAACACTCCGAGGGGCACAGCTTTGCTGTTTCTGCTGCTTCCAGAACCTTCCCCCAGATGTGTGCTCAGTCTCACTCTTCCATCTTGTTCAGTTTCTTGCTCTGCTGTTAGCCTGCTGCCACCACTCCTCCTGCGCTGTCGATGGACCCCCGTCTGCCGTGCCGACTGTGACCCCTGCTCATTTATACATAGCACACACCACGCCTTACACAGCTGCAAATCTCTGTCTCTGTCTATATCTACCATCTCTATCATGTTTATTTTCTCTATATTTCCCACTGGAATGTAAGCACCCTAGGCCAAAGTTGTTTTTTTGTCTTAATTCTTGGTACAGACACCCAATAAATAGTTGTAGCATGACTGAATAATTTTAGGAAGTTGGTCTATTTTCTTAAAAGAACTGATCTCTTGTGGGTTTTTCTATTCTCTCACTTTTGAAGGAAAGTACATCCCTTCAAATCTGGTGGTTTGCCAAGAAAGAGGGTGCATGATTTTTCTTTTGGTTTCACTGTCTGCTCACTTCAGTGCTGTTTAAATACCCTTTTATATGTGAAGCTAGATGAATAGCTTTTGGTCCAAACCTCAGCATTTAGGATATTTTCAAATTATGTAGCTTTCTGGACTGAAAGTTCATCTTCTGCCAATGTCACTGACAGACTGGTCCACAGATTGGTCCTGTGGAGGCCATTCGTCACCACGAACTGCAGTAGGCACCGCAGTCAGAACTCTTCCTGTCGTAATAAGACTTTAGTGACGTGGTCTGCATCTCCGGAGTTACAGTGAACCACCAGAGGTCGCTCACCCTCTACTACTCTGCTGTTTCCTGCCTGTTGCTCTAAATGTAGAGCCAGAGAGAGGAGAAGTTGTAGGAAAGGGCATTTTTGGCTCCCTGAAAACGTATCACCCCAAAGTAGAGGTGATGGATGGTACACCCCATCCCCTCCTTCCTTCTCCCTCCTTCCCTCCCTTTCCCTCTCCCTTCCTTCCTTCTCCCTCCCTCCCTTCCTGCCCCTCTCTCTTCCTTCCTTCCTTCTCCCTCCTTCCCTCCCTGCCCCTCTCCCTTCCTTCTCCCCCTTCCCTCCCTGCCCCTCTCCCTTCCTTCTCCCCGCTTCCCTCCCTGCCCCTCTCTCTCCCTTCCTTCCTTATCCCTCCCTCCCTCCCTGCCCCTCTCCCTTCCTTCCTTCCTCCCTCCTTCCCTCCCTCCCTGCCCCTCTCCCTTCTTCCCTCCTTCCCCCACTGCCCCTCTCCCTCCTTCCCCCACTGCCCCCTCCCTTCCTTCCTTCTCCCCACTTCCCTCCCTGTCCCTCTCCCTTCCTTCCTTCTCCCTCCTTCCCTCCCTGCCCCTCTCCCTTCCTTCCTTCTCCCTCCTTCCTCCACTGCTCCTCTCCCTTCCTTCCTTCTCCCTCCTTCCTCCACTGCCCCTCTCCCTTCCTTCCTTCTCTCTCCTTCCCTCCCTGCCCCTCTCCCTTCCTTCCTTCTCTCTCCTTCCCTCCCTGCCCCTCTCCCTTCCTTCCTTCTCCCCCCTTCCCCCTGCCCCTCTCCCTTCCTTCCTTCTGCCTCCCTTCCTCCCTGCCCCTCTCCCTTCCTTCCTTCTCCCTCCTTCCCCCACTGCCCCTCTCCCTTCCTTCCTTCTCCCTCCTAGTCCCCTGGCCTTACATTGACTAGAGATTCTTCCCAGGTACCATGAACTCTCAGGCCTAAAGGCAGCCACGTTTAATTTCGGTGATGTTGGGAAATTCTCCTTTTACTTGAACCTCATAAACGTTGTAGTGGGCAGTTGGAAGATATCTGAACTGTTACCTCGATGCTGTTTTACTATCTCAATATTTTTATTACCTTGACCTTAATCAACGTGATTCCATCGTTTTTGCAATGATACTGCAGGACATGGGAAAATGTATCAATAATATCGTATTTTCTTCCAGAACAACCCAAGATTGTAAGCTCTTAAACTGGATCCACATATATTACCAGATTATTTGGCAACATGTTTCATTTCCAGTGATTCAGTTTTATATGTTCCGTTTTGTTAGGGGAAGGGTGTGCCATGTAAGAATATGGTAAAATGTGAAATCGCACTGAATCTTAGGTGGCTCTGCTATCTGTGGGGTAAAATGGATATTAGTAATATCTATTTGATTGTTTTATATTCTTTTATGAGCTGGTCAGTCGGATGTGGCCACAGGAGGAGACAGACGAGAGGCTCAGGGAAACAAAGTAGAAACTCAAGAGGTCCTAGAAATGCAGGCAGGGTGTACCATGCAGGGCTTCACGAGACCCCAGGATGGTCGGGAGGCAAGAGCCACGAGTGGAGGGAGAGGGCCTATGGGAAGGGCAAGGCATCTCAGAGTAAATAGTTTGGGACTGGGTAGTTGGAATCATTCGGGTGGGCTTGGTGGTCTCTATTTGCCTAGCACCTGGGGTGCTTTAGGACAGGGGAATATTGGCTTGGTGTGTGAGATTCAGGTAAGACAGCAGGTGGGGCGTAAAGTCGGCATTGGTTGGTTTGTAGAGGAAAGCAAGCTTTGTCAAGTTGTTGTTACCTTTAGGAAGTAGCCCTGGGAGTATCAGTCTCTCCCCAGCCAGCAAGGTTTTTAAGATGTCAAAGCATCGTGATATGCAGGAAAAAATGTTAAATTCCAGTGCACCTCTCTTGTCATCCAGGAGTGTATTTCTCAGCAGGAGCACAGTGTGAATTAACATCCTCCTCTCCTCAGGTGCTGTCGGTGCTCAAGCACTCACTGATCTCCTTCAAGCAGCCCCGGGCGCTGGAGATGCTGAAACTGTACTTTCTGTTCTCCGTGCAATTCCTGGTCAAGGAGGTAGGACCGTGTTTGCCTTTTTGTGAGATAGGATCGGTACCATCTCTGTTTCTCATCATCTTGAACTAATTCCAGTCTTTCCAAGGTTATAGCCAAGGATTCCTACTACTTACAGTTGATTTAATTATCAAAGTGGGCCAGGTAATGAGTACTAATCTCTCTTATGTTGGTATTGTGGACTGAAAAAAAAAAAAAGCACAACCTGAAAGTTGAGAATTATGTTTTATTCGGTGGACATTCTTAGGACTTCAAGCAGGACATAGCATCTCAAATAACACTTGAGGGACTGCTCCCAAGAGGCAAGGGAGGAGCTAGGATATATAGGGGTTTTTGCAATAAAGACCAGGTAGTCAGAACTTCAGAAGATGACTTCATTAAAGAAAGCCAGACATCTCAAGTTAAGGAATTTAGCGCTTTTCTGTGTATGGGAAGATGCAAGAGTCTGGGCTCACTGGAATCATTCCTTTGATGTGCACCTCAGCGCTCTGGGGCCAGTGTCCTGTGCTTTCCCATCCTGAGTGTCCTCAGGTGCACCATTGCGGGGGCTGCAGTGGCTGAGGGCTTGATGGCAGGCATCCTGTCTCCATCCTGAGCTCCCTCAGGGCTCACCATCCAGGCTGCTGGAATGTGATGGCTTGGTGGCTGCAACATCTTTTGCTTACTGTTATGGCAGCCATGTTTTAGTTCTCAGTATTAAGTACTGTTTTAAACTGGCACTTAATAAGCTGTCTATTAATTAAGGTATGTGGTTGAGTTGAGTCAAACTAATAAATTATGTCTGTTCTTTAGGGCTATTTAGATCAAGAAGGTAATCCTACAGGCTTTGCTGGACTTGTGTCACATTTGCATTATCACGAGCCTTCCAATCTTGTTTTCGTCAGTTTTCTTGTAAGAGGCCTTTTCCATAATCTCTGTCAACCAACCAGGAAAGGTAAGCTTGACGTTTCATATGTATGGTCTAAAAACAGCAAAGATGCTATAGTGAAGCTAACACTTCAGGAAATCTTTTTTTTTCTACAAAGAAAATGCAAGTTAATATTTAGATAATTTGGAGATACCAAATTAGATAAAATAAAGTTTTATATACCTACTAATATAGATTACATAGGAGAAAGCCATATTTTGTGGCAACTATTTAAAAATAACAACTTCTTATTAACTTGAGAGATGCCTTGATTCCAGGATTCAGAAATATTAATATATGATTTTTTGGTAAATATTTTTCTAATTAAATGTAATATATGCTCATGATAGAAAAAGGGTATAGGAAACCATCATGTTAAAAAAATATTCACTGTTGATATTTGTGAATATTTTCCTCCAATCGTATTTTCTTTGAATATAATCCTATAGTGTATTTAAATAGCTGATATCATATTAGTTGCATGATCTAGAAACTTGTTTTCCCCCAGATTTGCTTTTGTCAAATTGTGTACATTTTTTGTGAATTCCATTTGTAAAGCCCATCTAATGTTTCATTTAATGCAGTTTTTTTAAAAGCCTTTGATTTTTATAACTAAACCATAGATCTTTAAACTATGTCCCTAAAATAAATATTTCTGTCTCTGTGCTTAAGTTCGTTGTAGTTCCTGATGCCTGGTGATTTTCTTGCCTTTCACAGCATAACTTCGCTTTATCTTCCATTGTTAACTGGCAGGAACACTCTGTTTTACACAATGTCACTAGGCTCTGAATGTGCATTGTTCTGTGAAACAAGGATCCTCAGGAAGTTCTGTCTCCCAGAAGCTCTGTAAGAGGAGAAATAATTTCAGGCAAAAAGAAGTGCAGTTGTGTTTATTGCTGTGTGTGTGTGTGTGTGTGTGTGTGTGTGTGTAGGGAGGTGTGTGCGGTTATAAACATGGAGACAGAAGCTTTATGAGGTAGATAATATGGACGTTGCTATTTTGTACATGAGGAAACAGAGAAGTTAGACAAATTGCCATGGTCACAAAACCTAAATATTTTAAGTCTTGAGCCAAGATTCGAATATGAGCAAGTTATTAAAGGTGGCACTTTTTAACACGACCATGTAACAGTCACGTGCTGTGGAGGATGGGAGTGAGTCAGGTTGATGGGATATATATATATATAGTTGGAGTATAGTTGCTTTACCATGTTGTGTTGGGGTTGACAGTATATTAACGTGAGTGGCAGGGAGGGGAGGGGAGGGGGCTGGGGGGTTATTTGTGGGTTAGTTTTGGAAACCCTTACGTGCTTGGCCGAGGAGATTGGATTTTGTTTATGAGGCATTGAGATGCGATCAGAGGCTTTTGAGGAGGTGAGATCATGATCATTAAATGCTTAAGAAAACCAATCATAGACTAAAGAGGAAGGTCCCAGGTAAGGGGACAAGGGTCTTTGGTTGGAGTTACAAGAGTCTGAAGTAGAGGGGGAGCGGCAAGAAGGAAAAAGGAGGCACAGGTGTAAAACTGCCAGCAGAGATAGTCGTTCCCTAGTCGCTACACTTGTTACAAATTTCTAGTCTCCATGAAATAACATGCAATATAACATTCAATTTGTATTGTTCAATTGAAACATTAAAAATGGGATTAATGCACTTGTTATGTTTATGACAAGATATTTTATTTTGTATAGGCTCGAAACATTTTTCTCAAGATGTTATGGAAAAGCTAGTGTTAGTATTGGCAAATCTGTTTGGCAGAAAATATCTTCCAGCAAAGTTCCAAGATGCTACGCTCAAGTTTTATCAATCCAAGGTAAAATTTATGATTCTGATAACATTAAATAATAAAGATAATTTAACAGATCCTACCATAAATGATTCCACAGCAGAATTTTGTTAATACAGAGTTCATTTGTTTTATAGAAATAATTTCTTCTTCTGTAATCAGTGTTATATTTAATCTGTAATTCACATGTCTCCTCTATAAATCTATCAAAAGATTAAATGCCTTGAGGAAAAATGGGATAAAAAGTTCTGCTCATGTTTTCTGTTGGATTGTATAAACGTGTAGCAATCAGTGGCTAAAGAAAAAAATGTACGTAATTATACATTAAATGAACTAATAGTTCCCATCATTGAATCTCTAGTTCTTTTAGCATCTTTTTACCTTGCAGTAGGTCTATGGACAGGAAGCGTATACTGTAAACTATAATGTTCTCACTGAAAAAATATTAGAATAGTCATCTAAGAAATCATCCCTTGACACACAGACTGTTGTCCGATTTTATTTGCAATGACTTCTTTGATCATGATTCCCTGTCATTAAATCAGCATCAAATATTATTACTAATGTATTTCACTAGAATCTGAGAAAGTGGGAAGGGCTGGTTATTATACCAGATAACCTTGGTAAAGGTGACAAAGAAGAACAAAAAGAGAAGAGTTCATCTATATTGTCTAACATCACAATGTTAAGTTACCATTCTTAGCCCTCACAGAGTGTTCTCTAGACCAGTGAAAACAATTTTAGTCACTGACTTTTCATCTTCATATCTTTTTCATCACATGTACATTCTTGGACTATTATTTGTTTTGGTTAAATAAACTTATTTTTCTTACAAAAGACAAGTCAGTATCTCTGTTCTTACACAGATGGTTATGATAGAAAAAAGTACAATAAAAAAAGATTTTGAGTGGAGGCCTCCTATTTCTCTCTCTTTTTTCCTTTAAAGATTATTAGAAATTTGAGCACTTCCAGGTGGGACATGCTAGGTGGCCATCACTCCTGTTGCAACAGAGAGCTGTGGAAGGGATGAGGATTATATTGACTAAAATTATAAAATGGCAAGAACTTATCCAAGGTGTGATTGGACTCTCCAACCATGATTTTTCTCTCAAAGAACTTGTTGATTCTGGACGAGGTTGAAAGTTGTACTTAGCATATCCAGAGAGCCTCTCCTATGAGATAAAAAACACAACACAGCAATAAAGCTTTTAGTGATTCCATGGGGCTGGAGTGACAGACTAGACACTTGAGAGAGTGTTAACTCAGGACATTCACTGGGTCATATCTGCATGAAATGTCAGGGTGTTACACCAAATTTCTTGCAGTCTTGTAGCATTTACTAAATAAAAACCCACTAGAGGGAAGAGTTTGAATGTATTCATAGGCTTATATTACCCTCAAGGTATTTTTAAAGCCATCTAGGGCTGGAAGATATAAATGTAGGTTATGAAGCTCTACAGGAATGACGTGGATCTTTGGGAATCTTTTAGGGCTGAGAAGACTGAGACCCACCAGCCTCATACTCAAAACCCAAGAGGGCTTAAGAGCAGAGATGCACCAGATGTAGACTGAGACTTACTAAAACTGGAAAACAGTATCAATCCACTTCAATCTCTACTTAGACTGAGGTGATCACATCTTCACTCACTTGGCCAAACACAAAATTGGGGAGCTCACTCCAGTGGAAGATAACATTGTTTGAAGTCTATCAGGTCCTTTTACAAACACTTCTGGTGAAAGAAAAATAAAACCTAAAAAAGTGAGTAAGCGAGAACATATGACCAATTAGCAGGAATGAAAGCAGGCAATAATAATCAACACGAAGATGATTCAGATATTGAAGTTAGAATATGAGGACTGCTCAAGAAAATGGGGGAAGAGATAGAATTGATGAAAGGATGGAGACTTTCACTAGATAATTACAAAATTGATGAGAATAGAGAATTTCACCAGGTAATTAATTGGACCGTCCAGAATTGAAAAATGTACCGTCTGATCAGAATATACATATCAGAAGTCAAAATCAGTGAGTTGACTGATAGCTCAATAAAAGGTGTCTGAATTGTAGCACAGGGAGAAAAAAATGAAAATAAAAACAATAGCATATGAGAATGTGGATCGCATTCAAAAGGTTTAATGTAATATAATGGCAATCCCAGAAGAAGAGGAGGGAGAAGAATGGCCGGAGGGTATTCAAAAATAATAGCTGGGAATTTTCCCAAGCTGATGAAAGACAGCACTCCATAGTTTCAAAAGATTAGTCAACTTCAAGAAGGATAAAGAAACATTAAACTAAAACTACTGAAAATCAAAAACAAAGAGAAAAACACAAATCAGCTAGAGCCGAAATAGACATTTCCTTGAAAAAAGCAATAATAAGATGGATAGCTGACTTTCTGACCAAAATAATGGAAGGTAGAAGAAAATGGGAATATAATTTTCACTCCACTCTGTTTATTTTTATGCATGAATGTGTACAGATACTGAGCGTATGTTTTAAACATAAGTTAAAACAGGGTAAATATATTGTGATTGGTTTCATGACATATCAAGAGGATATGCATACCTTATTTTAAAAGTTTTTTTGAGGTATAAGTGATATATAAAAATGGCATACGTTTAATATACACATGTTAATGCGTTTGGACGTATGCATACACCTGTGATATCATTGCCACAACAAAGGCACTAAACATACCCACCATGTCCAAAATATTTCTTCTGGTTTTATTTATTTAGTTAGTTAGGAATACTTACCATGAGATTTATCCTCTTAATGTAGTTTAAAGTACACAGTACTGTATCGTTAACATAGGTACTATGTTGTAGAGAAGATCTACAGAAATTATTTAGCCTGCATAACAATAATTTATATTCAATGAAAAACAATTCCCTATTTCCACCTCCACCCAGCCCCTGACAATATTCTCTGCTTCTATGAGTATGACTGTTTTAGGTCCCCCATGTAAGTGGAATCATGCAGTGTTTGTCCTTCTGTGAGGCTTATTTTACTTAACATAATGTCCTCTAGGTACATCCATGTTGATCTCCTTTTTTAAGAATGAATAATATCCCACTGTATGTATGCAGCACACTTTCTTATCGATTCATCTTGCTGATACACACTTGGGTTGTTTGTATGTCTTGCCTGTTGTGAATAATGTTTCAGTGAATGTGGATGTACAGGTATCTCTTCAACATCCTGATTGCAACCCTTTTGGATATATACCCAGATGTGGAATTGCTGGATCATATGATAGTTCTATTCTTAATTTTTTTAAAGAAAACTTTGTATGTTTTTCATAGTGGCTGCACCAATTTACATTCCCACCAACAGTGTACAAGGTTCGAATTTTTCTACGTTTAAAATTTTTCTTCAACCCTTATAATCTTGTTTTTTTTGATGATAGCCATTCTGACAGGTATGAGGTGCTATCTCATTGTGGTTTTGATCTGCATTTCCCTGATGATTAGTGATGCCGAGCAACTTGTAATATACATGATAGCAGTTTGTATGCCTTCTTTGAAGAAATGTCTTTTCAAGTCCTTTGCCCGTTTTTCTTTTGTTTTTGTGTTTTTGTTTGTTTGTTTTGCTATGGAGTTGTACTAGATTCTTACGTATTTTGGATATTATCCCTTATCAGATGGTTGGTTTAGAAATATTTTCTCCCATTCCAGAAATGCCTTTTCACTCTGTTGATTATTTCTTTTGCTGTGCGGAAGGTTTTTAGTTTGATGTAGTCCCACTTGTTTATTTTCACTTGTGTTGCCTATACTTTTGATGTTACATTAAAAAATCATGGCCAAGACCAATGTCGCTATATTTTCTTTTATTAATTTTACAGTTTTAGGTCTTACATTTAAGTCTTTAAACCGTTTTGAGTTTATTTTTATGTATAACATATGGTAGGGGTCCAATTTCAATCTTTTACATGTATATATCATTTTGCCAATACCATTTTTGAAAAGACTATCCTTCCTCTATTGTGTGTTATTGGTACCTTTGTCAGATATATGCTGGTAATATATATATGTGAAATATGTTTCTGGACCAGAAACACCGTAATTGCCTTAAAATTGAACAAACTCGTTTCATTTCTAAATACACATAAGACAAAAAATAAATAAAATGGAAATTATCAAATATTTTAGTTAAATGATAATGAAGAGTACATACAAATATAAGATGTGATTTATGCAATGATTAGAGGGACATTTATAGCTTTTATAACCACATCTTAGAAAAGAAGACAGGCTGAGAAAAAAATCAGTGATTTGACTTTTCAGCTTAAGGAGTTAGGAGAAAACAAAACAAAGCAAAATAAATAGAACAGAATATCTAACCTAAGGGAAATACAAGAAAAAGAGTAATAAAATGAGAACAGAAATAAAGTAAATTGAGAACAATTGTAAAAAAAGGGAAATCAGCAAGGCCTAAGTTGCTTCTTTGTTAAGATTTATAATAAAAGTGATGAATACACAGCAAGACTCATTGACAAAGAAGGGAGAGAAAGCACAAATTACAATTATCAGGAAAGAAAATGAGACATTATTACAGATCTTATGTAGTACATCAAATGGAAAAAAACATTTGACTATTTGGACAAAATGGGCAAATTCCTAGAAAATGCAACTTTCTAAAACTAACCAAGGACTATATGAATAATTTCATATCTGATAGCCATTAAAGAAATGTAACCAATTATTTTTTTTAAATTTCCCATTTAAAAAAACCCAGGTTCAGATGGCTTCAGTGGTGAACTTTTTTAAACATTTAAAGAATAACAGCAAATTTTCACAAACTCTTCTAGAGAATATAAAAAGAGGGAGCAAAACTTAAACTTAATATCAAAACTTGACAAGGACATTATAAAAAATTAGAGATGTATCTCTTATGAAAATGTAGATAGAAGAATAATTAACAAAATATTAGGAGAATGAATCCAGTGGGGCTTTAAAGACCCTCACAATTGAGTGAGGTTTATTCCAGGCACAAAGGGGACTTTATATTGTTGCTTGCTTTCCAAACATGTCACTAGATTCTTTGAAATATTCACAAGTCTAATGTCATTTGAGGGCATACTTCTATTTAAAAGAGTTTTGATTAAGTAGCATGAAAACAAATTTTTAAGAGCAAAGGTATTCGCTTTTATAACACAAATAGGAATAAAAAATGAATTTCACCTGAATTTCATAGATGAAAGAAAGGAACAGTTACATTACTGAATAGATAGATAACTATAGAATTACATTACATTGTTCTTTGCAGTTCTTCTAAACTTTCAGTTTTCAAGGATGGTACGTAGATCTCTGAAAAATATTTGGCCTCCAGTTTTTTGTTTTGTTTTTTTTTTGATGACCTCCTTGATGATTTAGGTGTTTCTGGAGGATCTCCCTGAGGACTTCAAGGCCGCTCTAGATGAGTATAACACAAACGTGACAAAGGACTTTGCCTCTTTCCTACTGATTGTTTCCAAACTGGCTGATATGAAACAAGAACATCAGCTCCCATTGTCAAAAATAGGTAAGTGTATCTTAGCTCCATTGTGGGACAGTTTAAAAAATAAATAATCTTGCCATAAGTATATTTTATCCCATAAGAAGAGTAGAGCCCGGGAAAGATCAGTCTGCCTTAGAATAAGGGGATCCTTTCTGCTCTCTCAAGGAAGACGGTATGATTATTAGAATTAAGTAAGGGACAGTGGAGAATGACATTGAATAGAGTCATTTATAAACCATCTTGATTAAAGGTTGGGTTTGGGACAAGCCTGGAAAATGGAGTAAGGACACCTATGAGATGAGGAGAAACAAGAAGCGATTCTGTCACTTTTTCCTTGAGAGGAGCTGTGCATGGTGGTCATGAGCATAAACTCTCTGCATTATGACCTGAGTCCAAGCTGTGGCTCTGCTACTTGTTAGCAGTGGGACTTTGAGCAGGGGACTCCATATTCCTGCCTCGATTTTCTCAACAGATAAATAAGGAGGATAACATTATCCACCTAGTTTGGGTGAGCTTTAAATAGTTAAGCCAATGTCTGTAACTTATCTCCAAACAGCACGTAGCACGTAGTCAACACTCCTGATCTTTGCTCTTACTTTTCATGAGCTATTGGCTGGAAATCTTCCGGGAGAAACTAAACTGGAAACAGTGACAGGGATACAGGGAAAGGGGTGAGCTCTGGGTAGCCATTTCCTGGTTTGGTAACATCCTCAGCTGGAAGAAGTCAGGGAGGAGGACCGTGTAGCTTTCTGGACAGCGTGAAAACAGGAAGTAGACAGTGGCAGAGGGTGTGGCGAGCAACCAGAGGAGGAAGAAAAGGAACGGGAAGGTTCGGCCTCAGTCACAAACGAGAGCCGACTGTGAACGCGCCCTCTGGTGCTTTACAAAGGGAGGAATGGAAAACATACTTCTTCTCATACGCCATTTCCAAACCTGCTGATGGTGGCTGCTTGAATCAGCCTGTCTAGAAGGATTCTGCAGGCAAGTCTGAGTTCGGTGGGAAAAAGGACCAAGGTAATAACAACGATTCTGGACTAAAAGAGGATACCATTTAAATTTAGTTTTTATGACCTGTTGATCAAAGCAACTAAAATATAATACAAAATTTTATACCGTTGATAATAGTATTAATAACTAACATTTATTGAATGTATTCTATGCCAGGATGTGCTGCTTACTGTATGTGATCGGTCCTATTCAGTCTTCATTACAGTGTTGGTCCTTGAAAGTTGAATGGCTCCCCTTTGCCTCCTGGTCTAGAGCAGGTGTGTAAGGCTTGGCAGTCTGGCTTAATCTTCAAAGCTGATTTGTGCCCACCTCTTATGGCCAGATTTCTCAGGTCAAGAGTGTGAAGACTCACAACTTGTGTCTCACTTGATGAGCTGCAGGGAAGGAAGAATAGCCATTTCTCCGTTTGCCTGTCTCTCTGGGAACTCTGACGGCAGTTTGCTTCATCTAGAAACTTCAGACCATGTAAGTGGAAAAGGAGGCTTGTAAGTAAAATGTCATTAAGAAAGAATTGGATTTATGCTTCCGGGCAGCTTAGCAAGGGCTTCAGGTTCCCCAGATTGAAAAGAGTTTCAGGTGCATCAACAGAAATACCCAGGGAAAGGTGCTCTTGAGGCCAGTTTGTCACCCTGGCCTGAGGAACCCTGTTCCAGTATACAGAAATCCAGGATCACCACTTTTCTGGAGATTGGCAGAGGTTTGCTGTGAAAAGAGCACATAAAACTATCTTCAGGCTTTCCCAGTATTGCTGTAGACGCTGTAAATCCCATATATTCTGGATCGGTGGTGTCAAAAATGAAGTATAGAGAACTAGATACATTTCAGATGTGCTGGATAACCCATTTGAATGTTGGAATAAACTTGTGGCAATTTAAGTGAGTTGATTTACAATGTTGTGTTAATTTCTTGTGTATAGCAAAGTGATTCTGGTACACACACACACACATATATGCTTTTCCATATTCTTTTCCATTATGGTTCCTCACAGAATACTGAATATAGTTCCCTGTGCCATACAGTAGGTCCTTGCTGTTTATCCATTCTCTATATAATAGTTTGCATCTGCTAATCCCAAACTCCCAAACTATCCCTCCTCTACCCGCTCCTCCCCTTTGGCAACAAGTCTGTTCTCTATGACTGTGTGTCTGTTTCTGTTTCACAGAGAGATTCATTTGTGTCATATTTTAGATTCCACATATAAGTGATATCATCTGGTATTTGTCTTTCTTTTTCTGACTTTGCTTAATATGATAATCTCTAGGTCCATCTGTGTAGCTGCAAATTACATTATTTTATTCTTTTTTTATGGCTGAGTAGTATTCCATTGTATATATGTACCACATTTGCTTTATCCAGTCATCTGTTGATGGACATTGAAGTTGCTTCCATGCCTTCGCTATTGTAAATAGTGCTGCTGTGAACGCTGGGGTGCATGTATCTTTTCGAATCATGGTTTTTGTCTTTTC